AAAAGGAAGAAAAACAACAGCTCCAAAAAAGTCTGTTCGATACGGACATTTCGTTTTTGGAGGCCATAACAAAGAATCCGTAATGAATCCATAGACACGCCTCATTCTAGAATTAGAGGCTCCAGTTTCAGTCGCACATGCTTTTGCGAGCAATGCCAGATGTCTTGTGGGTTGCTCCTACCTTGAAGAGCAACGTGCTGTTGGAATAGAGGGAAGCGTCTCTCCTTTCAACATGTTTGCACAGGGCTTCAGGGTATGGTTGAAGCTTCCCTGAGACGTTGGAGTTGCCGGTCCAGTTCAAGGTTTCAAAGTATGCCTTCCCTCAACAAGTAGACTACACGCCGCGTTGTGCGTGGACCTCTCCGAGTTGCCATTCCCAAAAACGGCATCCGGCATGTGTTGGGTTTAGCTGCAGTATGGTTTCAAAGCATTCACCCTTCAAAGCACATAAATCGTGATGTTGTCACACAACTCTTCTTGCTTGTAAGCGAACAGTTGTAGATTGTGTTGGAGTCCGATTGGCAATAGATCTTGTCGTGACAAATTTACTTGGATGTACCGCTGAGACGGGTAGCCTTCTGCCGAATGCCTTGGAGCAAGCTTGTCACGTTTAGACCTTTGTGGCACCACCGGTGAGCCTCCTAAAGCAAGCATCGTTTGAACAGCACGGAAGGGTGGCCAGGGGCAATGATACACTGACAGGTTTGCCATGCTCCTTTGTGGAATTTTCTGATGACACATCATGATGCATTGTAAGGTGGCCCGGTTGGCACTTCAGGCGCGCCAGCGCAAGGATTTCAGTGTGAGAGATTTCAGCCAAGTATATATGCAACAGCGAGGGTCATGCAGAAGGCAGCGCAATTCTGATGACACTCGTGAGCATTCACAGAATCCAAACATCTGAATTTCACTGAAAGCAGCAGTTTCTGACTATATGCAGGGCAGGGTGCTCACGCAATTTAACAGAAGCTTTGCGTACTGGACAAAGTAGAAAGACCAAGCATGCACAAGCTTGGCATAGTTTGGCAACCCGAAAAACAGACATGCAGCTTAGATGCAGTCCCAAACCTTTTGAAGAGAAATGAAGAGAAGTGAAGAGAAACTGTTTATGCAATGACTTCGGCACTGTAAGTCCTGGTTACTACCAACTGGATGGCTCCAATTTGATGTTTATGAGTGTTTTTTTAACAACAAGTTAGTTGAAACATCGGAAATCCAGAACCACACACAGCGCAACTTTGCTTTGAAGCTCAATTAGAAAAGGAAGAAAAACAACAGCTCCAAAAAAGTCTGTTCGATACGGACATTTCGTTTTTGGAGGCCATAACAAAGAATCCGTAATGAATCCATAGACACGCCTCATTCTAGAATAAGAGGCTCCAGTTTCAGTCGCACATGCTTTTGCGAGCAATGCCAGATGTCTTGTGGGTTGCTCCTACCTTGAAGAGCAACGTGCTGTTGGAATAGAGGGAAGGGTCTCTCCTTTCAACATGTTTGCACAGGGCTTCAGGGTATGGTTGAAGCTTCCCTGAGACGTTGGAGTTGCCGGTCCAGTTCAAGGTTTCAAAGTATGCCTTCCCTCAACAAGTAGACTACACGCCGCGTTGTGCGTGGACCTCTCCGAGTTGCCATTCTCAAAAACGGCATCCGGCATGTGTTGGGTTTAGCTGCAGTATGGTTTCAAAGCATTCACCCTTCAAAGCACAAAATCGTGATGTTGTCACACAACTCTTCTTGCTTGTAAGCGAACAGTTGTAGATTGTGTTGGAGTCCGATTGGCAATAGATCTTGTCGTGACAAATTTACTTGGATGTACCGCTGAGACGGGTAGCCTTCTGCCAAATGCCTTGGAGCAAGCTTGTCACGTTTAGACCTTTGTGGCACCACCGGTGAGCCTCCTAAAGCAAGCATCGTTTGAACAGCACGGAAGGGTGGCCAGGGGCAATGATACACTGACAGGTTTGCCATGCTCCTTTGTGGAATTTTCTGATGACACATCATGATGCATTGTAAGGTGGCCCGGTTGGCACTTCAGGCGCGCCAGCGCAAGGATTTCAGTGTGAGAGATTTCAACCAAGTATATATGCAACAGCGAGGGTCATGCAGAAGGCAGCGCAATTCTGATGACACTCGTGAGCATTCACAGAATCCAAACATCTGGATTTCACTGAAAGCAACAGTTTCTGACTATATGCAGGGCAGGGCGCTCACTCAATTTAACAGAAGCTTTGCGTACTGGACAAAGTAGAAAGACCAAGCATGCACAAGCTTGGCATAGTTTGGCAACCCGAAAAACTGACATGCAGCTTAGATGCAGTCCCAAACCTTTTGAAGAGAAATGAAGAGAAGTGAAGAGAAACTGTTTATGCAATGACTTCGGCACTGTAAGTACAGCAAACACACTAACTTTTGTCCAGTTGCTCGAGTACCTACGAAACGAGTTCTTGCACTTTCACCAATAGGATTAGGTGTTTGAAGCATTCCAGGGTGCATCGTGCTAATCACAACAGACACGGGATATGTTGAGCAATCTTAAAGCATGCTTTTGGCACGAGGCCTTCCATTTCCCCAGAGCACTTGGAACCCCGATTTAGGTAGGACAATATATAGCTACTCCACCATCCAGTGTTGACCTTGTCCAAAGCAGAATGTGATGGACCCTTTGCATCTCCGTGATGTGGGATAGATGCCAACCAGTCCCTCACCTGAGAAGCTCTTGAAATCAGTGGAGCCGGCATTCTGAAAGAGGTACCCGGATTTGAGGCCCTAAACTGTGAACTTCCTTAGCACATCCTTTTTTTGTGTGGGGAAGCCGTGAGGCGTGGCAACTGAATGCCCACTTTTTCTTGGCTGCAAGAGGACTTCTATTGGCAAGTCCACTGTGCCACCACAGATGTACAAGTGGTGGCCGCTCTATCCAGCTTCTGGATTGACAGCTTGAAGGCTTGAAGCACGATCATGAACCTGACCGATTCCTGGTTACTACCAACTGGATGGCTCTAATTTTCAGACCCTGGATTCTCCACAAGTGTGGCTTTGCTTTGAAGCTCAATTAGAAAAGGAAGAAAAACAACAGCTCCAAAAAAGTCAGTTCGATACGGACATTTCATTTTTGGAGGCCATAACAAAGAATCCGTAATGAATCCATAGACACGCCTCATTCTAGAATAAGAGGCTCCAGTTTCGGTCGCAAATGCTTTTGCGAGCAATGCCAGATGTCTTGTGGGTTGCTCCTACCTTGAAGAGGAAACGTGCTGTTGGAATAGAGGGAAGCGTCTCTCCTTTCAACATGTTTGCACAGGGCTTCAGGGTATGGTTGAAGCTTCCCTGAGACGTTGGAGTTGCCGGTCCAGTTCAAGGTTTCAAAGTATGCCTTCCCTCAAGCAGCTGAGACGGGTAGCCTTCTGCCGAATGCCTTGGAGCAAGCTTGTCACGTTTAGACCTTTGTGGCACCACCGGTGAGCCTCCTAAAGCAAGCGTCGTTTGAACAGCACGGAAGGGTGGCCAGGGGCAATGATACACCGACAGGTTTGCCATGCTCCTTTGTGGAACTTTCTGATGACACATCATGATGCATTGTAAGGTGGCCCGGTTGGCACTTCAGGCGCGCCAGCGCAAGGATTTCAGTGTGAGAGATTTCAACCAAGTATATATGCAACAGCGAGGGTCATGCAGAAGGCAGCGCAATTCTGATGACACTCGTGAGCATTCACAGAATCCAAACATCTGAATTTCACTGAAAGCAGCAGTTTCTGACTATATGCAGGGCAGGGCGCTCACGCAATTTAACCAGAAGCTTTGCGTACTGGACGAAGTAGAAAGACCAAGCATGCACAAGCTTGGCATAGTTTGGCAACCCGAAAAACTGACATGCAGCTTAGATGCAGTCCCAAACCTTTTGAAGAGAAATGAAGAGAAGTGAAGAGAAACTGTTTATGCAATGACTTCGGCACTGTAAGTACAGCAAACACACTAACTTTTGTCCAGTTGCTCGAGTACCTACGAAACGAGTTCTTGCACTTTCACCAATAGGATTGGGTGTTTGAAGCATTCCAGGGTGCATCGTGCTAATCACAACAGACACGGGATATGTTGAGCAATCTTAAAGCATGCTTTTGGCACGAGGCCTTCCATTTCCCCAGAGCACTTGGAACCCCGATTTAGGTAGGACAATATATAGCTACTCCACCATCCAGTGTTGACCTTGTCCAAAGCAGAATGTGATGGACCCTTTGCATCTCCGTGATGTGGGATAGATGCCAACCAGTCCCTCACCTGAGAAGCTCTTGAAATCAGTGGAGCCGGCATTCTGAAAGAGGTACAGATTGTGCCGGAATTGAACCGAGCGCAGACATCTTCATGGGTAGTGGCTTGTGCATCCGTATGGAAGAGCATCCTGCTCTCAAAAGCCTTGCTAGCTAGTGGTGCTTCTTCCACATTTCCGCTGTACTTCTGTGCAAGCTTTCCTTACTGCAGGGACCAGTCTACTGAGACATGCAGTAGGCATGGACATTGCACCGATGGCCGCAGTCAGTTTCAACCCCTTACGATCAACGATGAATCAGTCCTTACAGTTAACTTCTGGCATACATCTGGCAGATTTGAGGTGTCAGGGGTCAGCAGAATGCCACGATGATTGTAAATTCCTACATGGACATCCAAACAACCTTAGGATGAATGGTAGCTTAAGTTTCAGGTGAAGATGAATGGAGCAGAAAAGGGCACAGTTATGAAACCACTGAGGACACAGCCTCCCCATCGTTTCTGCGATGTGCTAAGCGACAGTCCAGAGTCTGAGTGATGGGGGGGTGAGGCAAAGCAAAAGGAAATGGGCCAGCCACCTAGACGACCTTCCGAAACACGATGGCAGGTGGGAACTTGTGAAAACCAGTTATTTCAAGTTAGGGTGACCCTAAGCATTCTCTCATCTCATAAGCAACATTAACATTTGCAACATTTGCGATCAGCCACCTCATTCGTTCACATGTCTTGCTCCTGACCTATTTTGGAGCTTCCAAATGGCAGAGCTTCAGCTCTTTGCGGACAGGCGGTGCAGAGATTTCTCCGGTTTGAAGGTTGAGGCTTTTAGCAAAGACTTGTCGGATGACATGGGCTTGGCTCAAATGATTGACCAAAATTGGACAAATTGGATTTTTCGAAAAAACGTTCAAAAGTCTTTTAAAGATAAAATCGTGTGTCCATTGGTACCCATATTTTTTGGCGCCCACATGGATTGGTCCATAAGATCTAGAGTTGCTGGACCCAGCAACTGAAGTGGCCAATGTCCAAGTCTCGGTGAAGTGCAGAGTGAGGTCCTGACATGACCGACATGTGCTGTAGCAGGCCGTGGCCCTCATCGGTTTTGTCCGGTGACCTTAGGCACTTTGAGGCACATGGGCATGTTTACTCCAGGGGATCCAGGAGGTAGCAAAGTTGAAAGAAACTTAAGCCACCAGAAAGGACACCTGACAGGGTCAACCTTCGGCACTTGTCTTCAATTGTCTTCATCAATGCTATAAAAACAAAAACAATTGGTCTTAAACTTCGTCCAACATAGCAGTTGAATTACTAGAGGATATTGCTTAGCAGCTGAGTCTTTGGAAAAGCCATGCTGCGGAAAAAGTTCGGTGACTAGTTTACGGGGTGACTCCGTCTTTCAAACTGGCCTCTGCAAAACCACAGAGTACCTTCGCTCCAATTCTGGCTCCTTGGACGTGCCATGCAGAGCTTCCAAACACTGCGGACAGCTATGGCGGCTGTGCTTGGGATGTCTTTATTTTACGGACTCATGTTGCGCCCAAACAGCCGGATCTTTCGATGTGCTCTGATTGATGGAGAGCTCCTAGAGGCAGCCAATACGTGGGATTTTAGTCATAGAAATAGGTTTGTACATGTTTGTACATGTTTGTACAATATACCCAATGTACACCTGTATTGTACTGTATTCCAGTAAAGTAAATGTGCCACGGAGTTTGCTTTTCTGATTTCTCGGCATTGGCTGGTTTGCTGCGGTAAAAATGTAAAGATATCTCAGGCCAGTGTCAGGATGGCAGGCATGTGCTGCTAAGAGCGGAGGACGTCAGGCTGAGAATGAAGCGAGACAACACTCAGAGGGCCAAAAGGCTTCAGTCTCTGAACTTCAAGCTGGCAAAAAACAGCACAAGGACGTGAAATGGAAAGCATAGCACGGTCAGTTTGCTTCCATTTGCCTAGGTTCAATTGTGGCCTATATTCCCTATGCAATCCCTTTTTTTCATCAACCAATCGGTTGGACTTGGGGACGCTTCTAAACAGCACACTTCGGACCGAGAGTTCCCTCGGTGGATCCAGTCTTTTTCCCGTCAAGTGGTTGGAAGCTTCATCTGGGCTTTGTGAAGACGCAGAAAGTTGACCAGTGGGAAACCTCTGGGGATGATAATTGCATGCATGCTGCATACCCAATCATTGTTCGATTTGCCCCAATACTTGGATAAAAGAGCCCTGACCCAGTGTTTACTGATTGAAAGCAGATGCTGAAATCTGCACTTTGCCAAAAGCCTTCAGATGCATAGCCAAGCGTATCAAATGCCACTCCTGCAGCTTTCAACCGAAACAACCTTCGAAAAAGATGACGCGGACCTTGGCTCCCAGTCTTCGCCGACTCAAATGGCCAACGGTGTAAGATCCAGACACATGAGCTTTTTGGGATTTTCTGTGACGAAGTTGGAGCTGTCTTTTGATTCTTTTTTAGCTCTTTAAGTTGGCCCAAGAGTGGATAAGTCGGACAAGTTCAATGAGTATAGACGTATAGACAGTATAGACCAGACTCTCCGGGCATGGGATGATGAGGCCATAGTGAGTTGAGCGTTGAGGTGTGCTGCTGTGACGAAATTCATGGTGGCCTGATTATTGCAGATGAGCATGTCGCTGTCCTGTGCAACTCTGCAGTTGTATGTGCAAAACATGGAACATACACAGGGTACTTCAAAAACACTTGAACTTTTGTCGTTAACAGAACCTGTCTATTTTGACTTGAAACCTGCCCCATCCCATCAAAATTTAAAAAACAAACAAGTATCTTAGAATTTGAGATTCCAAGGAGAAAAAAACGATGTTGCCGTTCCAGGCTTATCCAAAGAGATTGCCAGGTTTAAGTCCTGCTCCCGGTGTACCACAACGCCTGCTTTTAGGAACATGTTGCCAAGGCTTTTGCACTCGCTGATAGCGACGTTTCAACACCACTGGATCCCACCACGGCATACCAAGCACAATGCATTACGTTACGGCTTGTGTGAAGATGTATCCAAGATGGCTGCTTGCATAGATTTTGCAGATGCCAATTGGCAGTGTGGAGCAGACTTTGAGCTGTGGCTGTCCCAGGACCTGTTTGTGAAGCTCTGCCATGAAGCTACATGCGGAGGAACTCTTTGCTTGAAGTGTTGGGCTTGTCCATTGGTGCCCCCCATTGTTTGGCCACATCCGCCACACCCACACTGGATTTGTCAGCTTGAAGATTTCAGACTTGCTCGACCCAGCAACTGAACTGGCAAAAGTCCAAGTGTACTTCGGAGAAGTGCAGTTAGTGGGGTGCCGACATGGACATCAAATCAGCGCAAAGCATGGTTTGCGGTAGCACTCTTCCAGAAGGCTGCCGCCCATGATCAGCTATCACTCTGGCCTTACAGAATGTCTTCATCTCAACAGCGCTCAACAGAAAGGAAAGTCCAACAATGCCGCGCTTGTAGCAGCTTCGCGTCTTGAGACAAGATTTATTGCTTTTTGGCCCAGGATCGTGAACTTGATTGATCTTGACATGCTTGGGTCCGTCTTTCTGGCAGTGATTCTGCAAAAACTGAGTGGTGAGAAATGATCTTGGATCTCTGTAGCCATCTAGTCATAGGTTTTCAGTGCAAAACTTCACAAAAATACAGCCGAAGACGCTCCCCTATTTATTTTCGGCCCAGATAACCTTTTGGAAGGACCTTGTACAAGTAAAAATGAAATCTTGAAAGGACAATTTGTGACAGAGCAGCTGACAGTTACGACCAGCTCATCCTTCCAGGATCTAGCCAGGCCATTCGCAAGGCAATCTTTAATCCTACAGAGGAATTGTGCTCTGATCATAAACTTTATATTGAATACCACGTATTTTAGGTTGCTGAATACAATATATCTTTTGCCCTGAACAATTCTTCAGGTACATTTCGATTCGATTCATTTTCAAGGCAACCACAAGTACTTGACATGAAGACAAAAAAGATATGAAATTATCAAATTGGATTATAAGACAATATATAAATCAATATATTGAAAACGAAAGGTAGCCTTTATACCTTTTGGAATGGAATATATTTTTGAGGAATCTATTTTGACCATTATTTTAGAGCTGATAGTCATCGTTGGCTCCGCCGGATTACTTGACCCTCGATATTATCGCAGGATGAACTTGAAAACTATTAAATAAGGACCTGCTGCTTCAGAAATATGTTCCTTATTTTTTGTTAAATATATTTATAGAATTATATATATATATATTTTTTTTCTTGGCATAAATGGAGAAGGTTTGTTCCCGAAAGCTCCTGCGAAGGGTCTTTCCTAAAGAATTATTGGGAATTTTACCTTTCCATTTCGTATAAAAATACTTAAAAAAAATATTTTTTTGTATATAAATTTATATATATTAAAATTTCTGCGATAAAAAAAAAAAAATTATATACAAATATATATATATAAATATATATATTTTTAATTTTTTTAATATTTAAATTTAAATTTATATATATTATTTTTTTTTATTTTAAATTTTATTTAAATATTATAAATATTTTTTTCCCATTATTTCTAATTATTTTTATTTATTAAATATAATTTTCTAATTATTTTAATTTAAAATTTTATAATTTATTTTTTTATAATTAAATTTTTATTATAATTATTTATTTATTTTTTAATAATTTTTTGAATATATTATTATTATTATTATTATTTTATAAATATATTTTATATTTATTTTATTTTTAAAAATATGTTTTTAAGATTTATTTTATTATATTTTTTTATATATATTTAAATTTATATTTTATTTTATTATTATTTATTTAATTATTTAAATTTAAATATTTTTTTAAAATATTATATATCGATCTGGTAGTAGAGGAAGTTCTAGAAACCTTAGTTCCTTATTCCCCAATCTAGATCCTCCCAAACCACGTACGAAGTTGCGAATGGGACTAGCTTCTTGTTTTTTACGTTGTTGATGCGATTACACCGCCTCGTAGCCAGCCACCACTTAAAAGGGCGCCCTATGAGCCCAGCGGCGGGTGAACAGGGGAAATGATAAGTTGCACATGCCAAACAGTGCAAACAACATGCATGCATTAGCTGGCATCGACACAGGCCGGAAAATGAAAAATTTCAATGGTGTGAGAAAGGCTAAAAAGTGTCCTCTATACGTGCTCAGCTATTCAAGTGTTGCTGCCAGTGCCGGGGCCTGATCTGACCAGTGTTCCAAGCGGCAAGTTGGGCACAGAACTCATTACCACCCTCAGAGGTTGTAGTTCACCTTCCACGACCCGTACGGTCGCCAATTGAGCTCGTAGGGCTCGGGCTTCATCTCGCAGCTCTGGGCACATGGCACCACATGGGACACCCAAGAGAAAACTGTCGTCCAAAATTTGGATCAATTCTTCTCTCTGCTGGCGACTGATGCCATTCCATTCCTCAGGTGCTGCTGGTACCTGAGCTGTAGTCTCTTCACTGGCCATTAGCCTGTCGATCTCGGACTGGGGCAAGTAGTCCTCAATGGACGGAGGTAACTCAGCGATGAAATCTCGCCGGATCTGCTCCACCTTGTCATCAGGCCAAATCTCGTAGCCTTCGCCCAGCAGGAAAGAGATCTCAGCCGCCGTGAAGCGTTGGCAGTCAGTTACCGCTCTGGTTCGCGGTGTCGGCGATGCCTGTGTTTCTCCCTCAGCAGTTTCCGTTGGCTTAATTGCAGCCATGACACCATGAACTTCTCGGCGTCCAGCACGCTTGCCCAGGGTATACGCAAACACCAAGGCAAATGCCAGGAAAAAGAAGAACCCGATGATCTTGTCAAAGCTGAGGAAGATCACAAACCCAAACTCAAGAGCGGCCACGGGCACAATCTCATTCGCAAGAGTCATGCACCAGATCACTCCAGCGCTCTTGTTTGAGCTTGTTTGGCTCTGCTTGTGCTTTGCGGCGTGGTAGTGGCGCTTCGAGCAGAAACGCTTGCCATCTTCAGCAGGCAAACCACAGCCGTCCAAGAGGCAGATGTTACACTCCATCTTTTCTTCTGACTCCATCTCTTCGATCTTGTAGATGCCATCCTTCACCATTTGTTGCTTTTGAAACTCCTGAGCAGCTTGATCAAGTGAATCTTGCTCGTCCTGGCGAACGTTCTGCTTGACCTTCTTTGAAGCTGTTCCCTCAGGATCATATCTCAGACAGTGCATGCGGCGTCGAAGCTCCATTGCAAGCTTTTGCCGTCCTGACACCTTTGTGACCCCATCAGCCAGCTGCTGATGACTGTTGCACCACTTCAGCACTCCCCCAACTGCAGCCATGCGTTCGCATGCCATCTTGATTTCGATTGCAGTTCTTTTCTCAGCAAGTTTCGTCCCAGGGGCCTTGCTGTTGCTGGCATCAAAGAGAGTTCTGGCATCAGTGATGCAAGGTGAGTCGCCCAACCAGCGCATCATCTCTTCATTGTCTGGACGAAGAGCTGGCCAGATCATCAGGGCGAACACCGTTTTGGTCCACTCCAGGCTGTCGATTGCAGCTGCCAAGGTTTGAGCTTCGGCACTGAGCGAGCTTCGGCATACTCGGGTCAGCTTCCGTGAAGACCCGTCGCTCACGGTGAGGGGAAAAGGCTTGTCGCCACCGATCTCCGCCTCAGTCGCGACGAAGGTGATCCAGCCACCTTGGGAACTCCCGTCTGGTCTTGTGCACCAGGACGCGTCACTGTAGATCCCAAACCGGATCTCTTCCAGCCGTCCGTGACCTCTAAGTACCAAGTACACGTCTGAGCTTTCTTTGGCATACCTCAACATTTTGTTTGCTTCCAGCAACTCCGAAACTGTTGCGCAGGCAGAAGCGGCCTGAGCCAGGGACACAGACGCTGCCAGGTGTGGTTGCGTTTGGTTGGCAGGCCAGGCTAGCCCACCTAGCAAACCTCTCAACTGGCTCTGCTCTTTCGGAGTGGCCTTGTCGCTGGTTTGTGTTTTTCTGGCCTTCTCGATGTTGAGGGGCTTGAGCTGGTGGATGTACTTCTGTATGTCAAAAGTGACTGTGGCAGAGTCCATGGCTTGCGTTATTTGACATCCACAAAACGTATGTTTGTCGCCATAGTCGACGCTGCCAAACTTGAAGCGATGCAAGAGGACATGCAGTCTCTCTGCATAGCAGGTCGGCTCACCATGGGGCTCCCGTGTGTCTTCTTTGCAGCGCACGCCCTTTCCTGCAGTCAAGATGTCATCCACATGGATACAGAAGACACCGTCCACTACATAGTTGTTGCCCTCGTGCTCGAACACCTCAAAAGGAGGGTCACCATCCACTGCCAATCTAACTGACATATAGATGCAGCCATCGAGCTCGTGCTTCCACAGCTTGACCTCGTGGATCAGCGCACGATCGGCCGTTTCGTTCCACTGTCTGGGTGCTCTGACATCTCCAAAGGCAGGCTTCGTCATCTGCATCACCTGATGTTCTTGAAGTCCCATTATTTCAGCCAACAAGCGTCTCATGTCAGCTGAGGGCTCACCATAGATCTCCACCTCCTCGGTGATGTAGTCCGACTGCAAGAATGCAGACTTCACATCCATGGTGGCAAGCTTCCATCTTTTGACACAGGACAGCGTCACCATCAGGTACTTGCCAAGCCTTGACACCGTTGGAGACTCTGTGTCAAGCTTGCTTTCGATGACATCCTTGTGCTTGAAGCCTTGGAGAATGACTCGAGCATGTGGTTTGTTCTCTTTGTAGCGCAAGAGGAACCTCATCGGCACGATGGTTCCAGGAGGGCAGGCTGTCCTCTTGAAGGGCCTCCAAGCATCGTTCTCGTGCCATGGGACCAGGGCCTTGCGCTTGGCCTCTGTGAAGGCTCTTTTCTCATCGGCAGACAGCCGACTCTCCACGACTGCCATCATGACCTCGTCCTCAGGGACCTCCACCATGCGCACTTCCTCAGTTCGAGGTTGCTTGGTTTTCGGTTGACCATCATCAGCTCGGGGAGGCACCAGATTTGCAGCAGGTCGTGATGCTTGTGCAGCAGCACTTGCAGGCAGTTGTCGTCCGGAAGGAGGCAATCCATCCAGTCGTCGGTTGTTCTTGTGGGAGACGAAACTGGCAGCACGTACTGCTTGTTCATAGAAACGTCGGTTACGGGCTCGAACGCTCACATCATCAGGGTCCACAGGTGGTTCATCATCTTGCCTGTCGATCACCCCATGCGAGGAGTCCATGATGCCCGGGTGTTCTGCTTCCAGCTTCCGTTTCATCTCCTTCTGGATGTCGGTCATGCCTTGAGTGTGGTCATCCAGGTTCTTGTCCTTGTTGGCCACCATCTCATCCAAGAGAGTCTTATCAGTGGTCTTGGATTCAGATTCGGTTTTCTCACTGTCGGGGTAGTCGACCCAAAAGTCGATTCGGGGTTCAGGCAGCTTGGCCTTAGGCCGGGCTTTGGACTTGTCGGTAGGTTTGCCGGGAGTGTCAAGTTCTGCAGTTGCAGTTTTCGATTTCGATTTGTCATCAGTTTTCGGTGGGTCAGGAAGTTCATGTGGTTCATATGGAGGGGCATCACCAGGTGCGACAGCGGCTGCTCCAGTCCCCCCAAGCTGAGGAAAATCGTCAGGAGACTGAGCCTTGCCAGCAATGTCAATGGCCCTCACTGGACCACGCACTGGCTTGAGAGCTTCCAAAAGTCGTTGTTGCAAAGGTTTCTGCACGCTCTCAAGGTAGGCAGGCTTGCTCTGACGCTCGTAGCGCTCAGGGACAGTCTCAAAGCGCAGCTGTTGTCGTGTTGCTCGCACCAGTGAGCTTCCATGGACGATCCAGTAGATCATGGTCTTTCGGTCAATTGAGGCTTCCACAGACACCACCATCGCGGGTCCACGCCACCTGAAAGGGTCGAGCTTGTGGGTTTGTGGCTTCCAGTAGTAGACATAGTCTCCCACCATGAGCTCGTCCTCATCCACTCGTGATCGAGCCAAAGCGGCTGATCGAACCGCCAAGTCAAAGTTGGCAGAGTGGAAGGCCTGTGCAGCCTTCTGTTTGACTTCCATGACCTGCGCCAAGTCAGCAGAGTCACCAAATTGTTCGGGTCCAGGGTCATCAGCATTGCCTCCTTCGGAGGGAACGTAGCCAAATGCCAAAGTGGCAGGCGTGGCACCTTTCACCGAAGACAAACGGTTTCTCTGATGGCAGGTCACCAAGATGGCTTGTTCAAAGTCCAGCTCGGGCATGTCTTTGTGGAAGATCTCCAGCATGCGTCGTCGGACTGCATGATTCCGTTCAAGGATTCCAAGCCTGTGATGAGCACCTCGTGGGATCAGGTCCATGTACATTCCATGGGCAGAAGCCCAATCGGCAAATTGTTGCCCTTGATGAGGACCAGAGGCATCCAGTCGCAAGACCTTTGGGAAACCAAAAGATCGGCTCCAAGTTGACTCGAAGAGAGCTATCTCCATGTCGGCCGTCTCTTCTTTGATCTCCATGTCAACTTCATAGCGACTGAACTCATCCATGATGGTGAAGACCGCACGCTGTTTGCCGGCCCATTCCACGTAGAAGGTGTCGATGGCCACGGAGTGGTTGAAGTGTGGGGATTTGTGCAAAGTCGCCACACGCACATTCTTGGGTTGTGCCCTGGCCAAACAGGTCGGACACTTGTACCTCCGGGCCACCTGGACAAATTCATTGGGAAGGTGTCGTGCCTTCACCGCCAGAACCAGCTTGGCTCCATTGGGATGTCCAAGTTGTCGATGGAGATTGGCCACCGACTTCAGGATCTCATGGCCACCGATCTTGATGAGCTCTTTGTTCTGTTCCAGGTACTGCATCTCTTCAGTCGATTTCTCGACGACCTCCATGGTCATCAATTCAGCTTGTCCTCGTTTCTTCCATGCCATCTCCATTGCAGAGTAAATGGCATTGCCAAGACGTTGGCAAAGTTCAGGCTCGTAGTTCTGCATCTTCTTGAGGACAGAGCCGCGTCCCATCATTTGGACATGAGCTCCTCGGGGGCATTCACAACGCAAGTTCACAGCCTCGCAGACCTTTCTTGAGCTTGATCGAAACCTTGTGGGCTTTCTCACATACATCTCGTCCTCAGGACTTGCCTTCAGCTTCAGCCTTGTGCGGCAGCGATCCAGGACTGTTTCAAAGTAGCCCTTCATGGAGTCCAAAGTTGGGGTTTCGAATGAAGCTGCGTCTGCAGGGTTCTCAAAAGTTGTGTCGTAGACCAGGCGCTTGCCGTCGATGTGGATGTCCTTGTAAAAGGTCAAATGGGTCTCTTCTTCCAAGACCCTCAGATCTCTGAGCAATTCCCGTCTCTCTGGCGTTCTGTAGTTCAAATTCTGCATTGGTGACCAGAGACGACATTCAGGAGTCACCATGATGTGATGAGGTTCTTCTTGCTTAACAAGACGTCGAAAAGCGGCTTGTTGCTCTTTCATCTCAAAGTTCCAAGTTGGCAGTGAGAACTGCCGGACCTCCACATCATGATATGCTCGTTGCAGATACTTGCTCAGGTTTCCTTCATCCGCATAGACTTCCCAAAACTTGAGCTTGCGCTCGTGTTGTTGGCTTTTCGTGCTTGCAGCGAAGACAAACTCCTCCGCTTCTTTTTCTGACACCTCGACGTCAAGGTCGGCCTCAAAGTCAGAGACCTCATCGGTGATCATTGAGTCCACGAAGGTCTCCACAGAAACGTCGATGTTGTCCAGCTCTGCAAAGCTCAAGACGTCCTCAAGGTCGTCAAAGATGTTGATCATGTAGTGCCCGTTGGTTGTGAACGCTGGCTTCACCTGCACGTCACCGATCATCACAGTTTTTCTTCCATAGTCCACCACCGTCTGCCAAGATTCAAGATCTGGGCGTGCCAAAAGCAAAGGTGTGTGTCCTGGAAGGACGTGCACAATGAGTTGTCGCCAGGTCTTGCCAACGCAGACAGGGATCATCGCTCTGAAAAGCGATCTCACCATGGCACCATCTCCAAACCTGAAATCCTTTGTTTCCTTGTCGATGTCAGGCTCCATGTTCCTCAAACTGAGGTAATCCAAGATCTTGTTCCAGTTGGCTTCACCACAAACTGTGCGAGTAGCTCCACTGTCCATGATAGCCCAACCAACAGCTTGGCTGACAAAGTTGATGCTCTCATGGGTGGTGTAATCCACTGGGATCTGGTTCACCTCGCTGACAAAGTTGTCCTCCACCATGGTGACTTCATCAGGGACTTCCTTGATGCCGTTGGCTGGAAGCCTGTAGCGCTTGAATCTTGGGCCATGTTGAGACGTGCTTCCACTGGTTGTGGACTTTGCAGATGCCGTCGTCGAAGAAGTCGTTGTAGAGTCACCTGCACGCCGACGTCCAAAAACGTATCGTCGTGCACCAGGCAAGGGGTGTCCTTTTCCAGCAGATTTGCCTTTTCCTCCGCTGCTCTTTCCACGGCCTTTTCCTTTTGACTTGCCCTTTCCACCAGAGGCTTTTCCACGCCCCTTGAACGCACCACCATTGTCATCCATGCCGATGGCAACCACAGGGTAAAAACCTCGGCTGAGAGCGAGTTCTCGCATCTTCTTTCGTGAGTCCAAGTAGTTGATGAATGCATCCTCCACTGCAAGTGAGGCTTCATCCAGTTCTTGCGGAACATCCTCATCAGCTTCACCCGTGTACTCCACCTCATCAATGGTGTCGTCATAGTCAGGGTCATAGCCGTAGGCGTAGGTGTCATCATCCTGGTAGTAGACATCGTCAAAGCCATAGTCCTCAAGGTCTTCATACTCAGCATCCATGTAGTGAATCTCACCTTTGAGGATGGAGTCCTTGGCGTTCGGCTTGCTGTCACCGCCAAACATTCGGATCAAAGCTTTGGAGACTCGGTCAACTGACATGTCTCCGTTGCACATCGCTTTGACCTGGACATGGGTCCACCGCGGCACTCCAGACCTTTGCAAAAGATGCCAACCAGCAAGAAGGGGTGGTATGTCCACCTGGAGCTCTTTCAACTTTCGAAGCATCGATTGATGCCTCACCAAGTAGGCTTGTAGTTCTTCACCTCGTTCTCGGGCAAACTTCTCAAAGAACTCTTGGCACCGCTCAGGGAGTTCTACTTCTTCTTCATGTTGAAAAAGTTTGTCCAAGACGACCAGCAAGGGTTTGAAGGGATCCTCACTCAGCTCCATGTCATCGTAGTCCAATCCCTCTGTTGCTTCCCATGCTACGTCTTGTAGTTGTGAGAGAACTAGATAAGCTCCTTCAAGAGCTACTCCTTGACCTCGTCTTCTACATTGCCGGCTGAACAGGTCAAGTCTCCTTCTGAAGGACCTGTATGTGGACTGTGTCAGTCCAGCAGCAGATGGTGCTGCTTTGGCCAAACCTGAGTCCAAACCACGGCTGAACTCGTTCTGACCTTGAGCTCCATTTGCTATTGCTCCACCATGTTGAGGGCCATTAGCACCAGCAGATCCACCTGGTACTGCAGCTCCTCCAGGGTTGTTGGCACCGTCAGATGCTTGCCCACCAACCATCGTTGCCACCGAAGTCAAAGGCAAGGGTGATGAACAAGTTCAGGACGAAGTACCTGCGGCAGCCCAGATTGGGCTCCGCTACCAATATCGATCTGGTAGTAGGGGGCCACAGAGAAGTTCCCTTACCCAAACCAGATCTCCCAAGCTCCACGCACTAAGTTGCAGTTGGGTCTCACGTAGTTGTTTTCCTCGATGTCGCAAGAGCAGTTAGACTGCCTGTAGCCTTGCTATCGCTCCAAGGGCGCCCTGTGAGCCCAGAGCAACAGGTGAAATGACAGTTGCATGTGCTTGCAACCTGAAGAAATGAAAACACTCATGCATGCGACAGCTGGCATCGACATATATATATATATAGAGCTATAGGATATAGGTATAGGTATTGGATATTGGATATTAGATATAGATAGACAATTTCGTTTACTCAATTCACGAAAGGGCCAAACTCCAAACGTATCGCGTTGTTCACCCGCTGCTCCGCCCTCGGCGCCTGAGATAACCCATGCAACTTGGCCTGCTGCAGCAGGAGACTACACCATGTCGGGGTCCGCCTGCGGAGAAAGCACGACTTCTATGAACAGAAAGTTGGGGATATCTAATCATTATATATCTAATATGAATGCTTAAAAATGCTTAATATCTCATTGTCCATTAGATGTTTTATGGTTTAATAATAGTTAACATCTCAATTAGTCAACATTAGTCAACATTAATAGATATCGCAAATCAGAAACATTGGACAATGGGGGGATTCCCAGCCTTCCACGGGTGATGATGGCCAACAAACGATCAACGGCGCCACAGCGGACGATCACATTCCTAGGCGGCCACTGGAGGTTTCCATGGGCCCCAAATGGTTGGATGATAAGTTGATAAAGGAAAATCCGATTAAAATGGGGTACCTCTGTTTCAGGAAACCTCCATACTAAGTGGAGGTGCCTCACTTTTTCCAACCTGCTCAGGTCATCCCACATCCTGCATCATCCTGATATGTGATTAACCGTCCTGCTGAATGCAACATCAAAAGCGGGCGAACTTGCCATTGAGTCTCCAAACCACGCCACTCACAATTGGCACCAGGAAGGTTGAGTCAGAGTCTGAAGTTGATTGAGATATGTCAGCCAAAATCAGCATCAATCGAGCACCTGACGGTTGGAGACAGGCGTATGGTCGACACACAATAAGTGAGCTAACTGGACGATTGCCTCACCGAACATGAAAATACGTGAAAGTACCAATGCCAATGACGTTTCAAGCATGAATACCTGACCCCTATCAATGGCCTTTATTCTGCTACCATGCAACATTAAATCATTGCAGTACCATTTTCACTGTTCCAAGCATCATCATGGCTATCGGCTATCTGTCATGTCGCCTGTCCTGGCCTTCTGCCATACCATGAACCATGCAGATCTGAGCAGAGACCACAATGCCCTGGTTGGAGTGATGATAGGCTCTTCTGACAGATTTCTCCTGGCCACACCCTGCAACCCTGGTCCTCCTGTCATGGATTCCCAACTCCTCTAGCCGCTATAGCCTATTTCCCAGTCTCCTGAACGAATTCTCGCACAAAGGTTCGTTCGAGGATCAGGAGGCATCCAATTTCATAGGCACCCAGCATCGCCGGCATCAACGTGCCTATCGCAAGAACCACAAAGCTGACGCTTGCATTGCTGTGACATGGGATAGGGCATAGGCTATGGCGTACATGTGCCGGGAGCGTCTATGCATGTATCTATAATATGCATGTGAATGTATGGACACAGTATTGTATTGTATATCATTTGACTACCTCATAATCATAATATGATATCAAAAGATATTGATATTATGCTATCAATGTTGCAGTATATCATACCGTATCATATCATTTTCTATACCGCTAGAGGACTGACGTTTGCCCGAAAGTGACAGAATTCCATGCAGGACTGCAACCTCTGTTTTTTTGATGCAATTATTTTTTCAAACTGCGAACGTGCAAAATACATCAAAACGTTGATAAATAGTGATATTTGTTCGATCTAGTTGCGTTTTTGCGCTTACACAGAGCGCTGCCAAAAACACATTTTTGAACCATGTCTTACGGTAAACACATTCTCCGTAATTTGGGTGAAGGAACCTGCCAAAACCCTAAGCCGTGAAATGAAAAAATGCCCCAACTCTAGATTAAACATAAATAACTCCTTGAATGATCGCATGAAACAACACTAAACAACCCCAAATAGCACCAAAAAAACACGAAACGAACCTAAATAAACCAAACCTAAAGAAACCCTAAACCAACCCTAAACCGACCCTAAAGAAACCCAAAACCAACCCTAAAGAACCCCTAAACCAACTCTAAGTAACCCCTAAGCCCAAAACCAACCCTGAAGTATCTAGACCCTCAATCGAACTTTGGGAGAACGTCCGCCCATGATGGATACTCGCTGCTGTGCCTAGCCAAGGACCAACAAAGCGCTTTGCTACGCTGTAGGCGGTGGTCACTGCAAAGAAACCCATCTCGGAGTAGCTTTTGCCATGGGAAAAAACATGCTGATCCCATCACAGTCTCTGCAGGGATTCTGCACCCCAATGATCACGGAAAAATACTGTCATTCACCAATGATACAGAATGAAACATTTTTTGGGCTGACTTCCCTTGAAACATCTCTTTATGCCAAGGTGCCACCGCCACACCCAAAGTTGCAGGCCCCATCTTTTGGGAGTATCGAGGGTTCAGGGGCGGTGGGTAATTCGGGGGCCCAAGGTTTTCTGCCACGAAGATGATGACCAAATGCCCCACGCCGTAGATAAAAATGAAGCCAAGGTGTTCGTGCTCTTCACCCACATACCTTGGAAAAGCAAAATTTGAAGCGAAAGTCGGAGAAACAATCTAACACTAGTCACTAGACTATAGCCAATTTCGAACTCACAAACTCATTTACAAAGATAGTACCGAAATGTAAGTAATGGTGAAACAAACATGACAGTCTATGTTTTTCATGCCGTATTTAGAACGTTCAAACCTTTTGGGATGGCTGTTCAGACCTTCAATTTGGGCAGTGGTGGATTTCGGATTCTGTCTTCACTTGGGGAGGGTTGGGATCAGGTTTTCGGCATGGCGTTTCAAGACTGAGTTCCCCGGCATTTTGCGACCTATGCGACCTATGCGACCTATGCGACCTATGCGACCTATGCGACCTATGCGACCTATGCGACCTATGCGACCTATTCGACCTATGCGACCTATGCGACCTATGCGACCATATGCGACCTATGCGCCTATGCAGCCTATGCGACCGGGAGTTCGACCCATGCGACCACCTTGCGACCTATGCGACCCAATGCGACCCATTCGACCCAATGGCGACCCATGCGACCTATCGACCTATGCGACCTAGCGACTATGACCTATCGACCTACGACCTGATGCCTACCTATGCGACCTTGCGACCCATGCATACCTATGCGACGCCATGAGACCCATGCGACCATGCGCCCATGGCTACCCATTGCGCTCATGCGAACCCATGCGACCTATGCGACCATATGCGACCTATGCGACCTATGCGACCTATGCGACCTATGCGACCTATGCGACCTATGCGACCTATGCGACCTATGCGACCTATTCGACCTATGCGACCTATGCGACCTGGGGCTCTCACTCCCCTTTTAGCAAAGATTTTCAGCCAACATCACTGGAATTTCACGGCAAGGCTGTCCTACAAAAAATATGTGAGTGCCACGATAGGTCCAAAGCATCGCAGGTAAGTGTTTGGTCACATACTGAATCTAGTCTTAATGTGACGAGTGATTTGGTTGCAACAGCAGTTCCAGCTACAACAGCTACAACCAGTTTGCTTGATAACTTTCAAAGCGCTTAGCTGACTCACAAGTTTCTCCCCGGCACCAGGCAAAGTTGCACACTCACAAAGGCCACATACAGCAAGAAATAAAGGGAAGGCAAAAGAACCGTGGCCACAAAAACGCGCCCACGACTAAAACCTGTTTGTTCCGCCATTTCAAAGGTTTCGCCAGGGCCCAATGCTGTCCTGGCACAGGCTCGCACAGAGTGCCAACTGCTTGGAATATCCTGCTTCCCCACCAAGTACTCCCAACAAGTGGGAATCTTGAACCTCACAATGGAAAAATAAGGTAGCTGGCCACAATGCCTGCTACGAGAGGGAATAATGATATGACCCGACGTCCCTACTCGCAATAAACAACCTTGTAGAAACTTTGGTAATAACCAGAAATGCGGCCTACCCACCACGTCCAGAAAACTCCTCCAGCAAACCAAACTCGAATTGCCAGGTGCATTGCCATAGACACAATAGCCCCGCAAGTTACTGAACGAAACGCAATGCAACGGCAGAAAGTAGAACGCCATCCACGCCAGCGCCCGGAAGGACAGCACAAACCAACGATTTTTCGGCAGCCCTGCGGTTGGAAAATGCACATCGACATGCAGCTTACATCTACCACGATTCATCAAAACAACATTGGGTTTCGGGATGTGATGATGATTTAAAAAAATGCGGTGAAAAGGACTGTACAATGCGAAATCTGAGCCCACAGAATGTCATGCCATTCCTTGCATGGAAGCTGTAACACACAGAAACCACACACACACACATACACAGACCCTGCAGTTCTTCGCATCCCAATCTGTGCCTGGCAGTCCGGCCTCTGAAATGCTCAACGCCATCAAACCTGCAGTGGCTCAAACAGGTTTAGCCCAAAACGGGTACCCTCCAGCAAACAAAAATGGCAAATGAAAACCTCCTATAAATGAAGGTTCCATGGGAAAATCAACTATGAAAGATATGAAAGGGAAACTGTCCATTGCCGTGTTTGCAAAATTCCAAGGTTCCGGGACAAAAACGAATCGAGAGTGCATATCTTGTTCCAAGCGTATTGGAGTAATGGGTCCAGAACACACCGGAATTGGGAGTTGTTTTTTGGAACTCCGGTGTTCACAAGCAACTGTGCAAACCGCACCTTTTCCTTTTTCACAACAGATAAAATTGGTCTCATGTGTCCACGCCGCGTATTGACACAAACCACGTCCAACGATTTCGTTGAACATTCCCAAATCCAAACGATCAACCTTTCAAACTGCAAGGCTGCATTTGCCTCAACGTGCGTACCATCAGAAAACATATCACGAGTCCCAAAATCCCAAAACAAGGTCAGCACACCACAACTTTGAATGCAAATTGCAACTGTGGGCACCTGCGAAAATGAAGGTGCTTGAAATCAAGCTCGCCAAACACGTGTCGCGGTATGTTGGAAGGCATAGCTGCAAAGGATCTTTTGGAGTGGGGGCCTTCGCGGCAATCGTGTGTGAAAATGGGGAGTGTGCACTGTTTCCAACCTCACAATTTGGAAGCACGAAGTGTGTTGATGGAATGATGGGCCTACAATTTCAACCAATTCACCGCACCCTTAAAAAAGGCACAATACCTGACCAGCCTCACGCGATGGAAGGACGGCCACATTGCCCACGGGCAGCTTGATTGGCGGACGAGGTGGCGGGGCTGCAAGGACAGGCGCCATGGCAAGAGCAAACAATAATTACCCTTCATGCAAAGCCAACAGCAAAACCATGGAGTTGCGAATCTCATGACGGCAATTCACACTATATGTTTGGTGGTCCCTCTGCTTGAAGAACGGGTTTCTTTGGTGGAGTCCTCCAGTTATTTTTTTGGCGGGCGAGGGGATCTTATTTTCCATGTTGCTCATAGCAGTTGCACCTCTTTGGTGTCTCACGTTCGGCCTTCCAAATTTGATGTTCGGCGTTTGGATTTCGTAAAACCGACTAGGGGGGTAAAAGTTTTGGAACCGAAAAAATTACAAGAAAAATTCAATACAGGTTGGTCACAACATTTGAAATTCGGATGTGAATGCATATTTTTCCGCCGCACTTGTGGCACATTTTTTTTTGACGGGTGGACACCGACCGGTTTTTATTCTTTTATCTGCCCATATAGTGCTTCAGGTGCTGCCACTGTCCCTAGAAATCCCGTGGTCGCGTTGATTTAAGTACGTATAACCTGCGAGTTTTCGGTGCACGGCCCCTGCCTGCATGCCCCGCTGCTAACCAGCCTCAAAATAAGAATAACCGTCATAAACGGTGGAAAGGACAACCGGAACAATCAATGAGCAACACAAATGCATTTTTTGGCACAACGTGTTGATTCATCACATTTTTGATCAAGACCCCCGGCAATCTGAACATCAAGGCTTTGAAATTTGGTGGCTGGTGCCGCCGCAGGGCGCCGCTGCAGGGTGCCATGGGGCGCTGCTGTAAGAGTGCCGTGTGCGCATTGAAACTTGGTGCCGCTGCAGCGTTGTCGCAAGGGGCCCGCTGCAATGTGCTGCTGTCAGGGTGCTGTGACTGTGTGTTTTTGGAGCTTGGGCACTGGTGCGATTGCAGGTTCCCGCTGCAGGGTGTTAGTGTCAAAGCCCGTGTTTGCAAGTTGCTGCTTTTTACAGTTGAGAAATTTCGCCTTTAAATAGTTTTGGCATACCCCTGCGGAGAGCACAGGCAGCGTAGGGCTCACACAGCAAAAACGAAAAGCAGCGATTGGGCTATTTTGCGCAAAGCTTTGCTCGGTCCGAGCTGCGGTGTGAAAGCGCTAAGGCAAAAACTAATGCATGACACAACACACCAAGCATGCCTCTACCTACCGTGTTTCTTCACATCGGAAGGGAAACGTGTTGGTGTGTTCGAATTAATGCCCGGCGCAGCCGGTGGTAGGGCGCGGCCCTTCATTTTCAGCTTGCGGCGCTGCCGCTGGCCTTGGCGTAATCGGCGCCGATGATCTTCCAGAGATTTCTCCTCGGGAGTCTCCTTCAGTGAGATCTTTGGCACCTTGCAAAACGCCTGCCAAAGCAAGTTGACCATCTTCTTGGTGAGGCCGTCCGCGTGTTGACGATGGGTAGGAACCCAAAACAACATGTACGCTCCGGCTTCCAAGTGGTGTCGGGCCACAAGCAAATCCAACATCGTTTGGCGTTCAGTCGGAAGTTGGCCCGTGGTGTTGAGATGATCGAAAAGGCTTTTTGCATCCGTAACCACTCCGCCGTCCAAGCCCATAGTCACTCGCCAATCTGCGTCCAAAGGCCTGTTGCCATAGAGCAAGCGGTCTAGAACCAGGCGGCCATACAGATGGCGGTCCACGCAGATGGACATACTGCAGCTTTCAGCTGACATAGAGCTCCTCAGGACTCTTGAGCTCTTGTTGGTGGAAAATTCCACCACCGATGCCAAAGCTGGGCCTGTGCGGGCCTTCTCCGTGGTGAGGAAGTGGATCGATCCCAACTGGGATTTTCCATCTTCTTCTTTCCCGACCGAGGCGTCGAAGAAGCTGATGTAAAACATCTTCTCTTTCTCCTCGATCTTCGGATACGTCAGCCGGGCGCGGCCCTGGGAAGCTTCCTCTTTGAATTTGCCGTGTAGCTTCACGGCCTCTTTGTAATCACTGTGCTGAGCGCGGCTCACTCGTTGTGCCAGGGCAGATACCTCGTAGAGCATGTGCGGCATCGCCTGTTGAGCAGGCCACCTCAGACGCATGATAAGCTGGCGGTAGAGCGTCAGCTCTCTTGGGTTCAGTGGTCCCGATCCTTGTAAGAGCTCCACCTTGATCTGGTTGATGTACTGCTTCATGTCGTCGTGGATGCCGTTTGAGTCCATAGTTACATCCACTCCAAGAAACTGTACGGGTTCTTTGGCAGATAGGTTCTTCCAAGCTTTGATCTTGAACATTCCATCTATCTGCCTCTTGAGATTCTGGACTCGCTTGTCCTGTAAATCTCCCAAAAGTAATCCGTCATCCACATGGAGGCACAGGATTGCATAGGTGGCGCTGCCACTGTTTCCACCTCCTGCCACGAAGGTTGACCTCGACATTTCCAACTCCTGTAGTTCGGTCTTCTTGATCCTGTCGAGGGCCTCAAGGTACCAAAGCCTTGGGCTTTCCGTCAATCCGTACGCACTCTTGAGAATGCGTAGGAGCTCACCTGGTTCAACTGCCGTCCATCCTTCGGCAGGGGGCAAACCTTCTCGTGGAGCTCGGATATAAACTTGGCGTTGTAGATGTTTTCCACTGAGAAAAGCTGTTGTAACATCGAAGATAGTGCCACCCCAGCCGCGGGCTGCTGCCACGCTCTTGGCTGCACGTACAGCTGCTTGAGGACACGTTGGGGAGTCAGTTCGAAATTCTCCCAACTGCGGGTCCAAATGACCTGGCACAATAAGTCGTGATTTCGCCACCAATGGCAAAAGTTGGTTGGTCTGTTTGTTGACCCTGAGCATCCTGAGTGGGGCTCGAAAGATGGAGGCTTTTGGAATCCTTGCAGCTTCAGCTGGGCTGACTCTTTCAATCACTCCATTCTTGATCCACTCAGACCATTCTTTGACGTCAGCCGCATCAAAGGCTGCCTTCTCCTTCTTGTCAAAGTAGGAGGGGTCCAACTCCTTTCCACCTTGCTTCATCTTCAGCAGCAGTGCTTCGGTGGTGAGAAGATCTCGAACTTCTTCCGTCCACAGAGCTTCAAAGTCCTGGGCATCCTGCGCGGTCATGTCTGCCCGATATAGACCATCTGGAAGCTGGATGTAGATGGGTTCCTTCTCATCCTCCTTGGCAGTCTTGTAGAAGATCGTCATGCCTTTCCAAAGAAAGCTGGCACGACGGCGTGGGTTCTGCTTGACGTCAGCCTCGTCCTCGTTGACGATGAAAGTGTTTGCAGGGTCTTTTCCAATCAAAATTGAGAGTCTTGAGCGACTCACCATCTTCGGGGGTTTTTGGAAGCGCTTTCGTGGTGTCCTATGAATCCTGGCAGCTGTAACCGGAAGACCAGTCAGCTGCTTGAGAATCTCCACCTCGTATCGGGACACCCATTCATTTTGTAAGCTTCCATAGACCATGGTCGCAGCCACTTGAGCACAGAAGTTAGCTCGCAACTTCTTGACGGCAGCTTCCGCCTGAGCAGGATCTACTGGTACCTGCTTCCTCTTGAGAGTGAGCGGGACGTCGTCCAAAGCCATCTTGCGTCGATCTTCTTCTGAAAGTTTTCGGAATTCCTCCAACCATTCTTCTTCATCATCAGGTGGTACTGGTACCTCATGTGGGGGCACCTCAGTTGGAGGCTCGGCCTCAACCCTTGAAGGTTCATCCAAGCCTTCATCATCCGAAGGGATGTGTGGCAATTCCTCATCGGTTGGTGGCTGTGGTGGACCTTCGCCTTCATCGTAGGGCGATGTAGCTGTATATCCATCCGATTCATTTCCATCACCGGGGCCTGGCAAAGCAGCCGGTGGACCTGGGATGGAAGGCGCATCTGGGTGGACGCTGCCATCTTCCAGAGCTTTTGCTCTTTTCTTGGGTTGCGGCGCAGCCGGTTGATCCTCAACTTGCTTGGGCATCCTTCTCTTTCGAACTTGGGACCTGAGATCAGCTAACCGATCCTTCAGAAGTTCCCTGATGGATTTTATGCCTCGTAGCATCATCCTCGCTCTCTTCCTCTCTGGATTCTCCTCTGTAGGAGGGCGCCTCTTCACCCGCTTGGGTGGTGCTAAGCGGGTCTGGTCTTTGTAGACCTTCTCTCGCATGGGGTCGCGCAGCAACTCACCCAAGCTGTCGGCATCCTCTTTGGCTGGTTCGTTGAGAGCCAGCTCCTCACGAGTGGCCAACCGGATGTTTGGCGCAGCCAGAAGGAGGGCGCGGCCTCGCCAACTGACGAAATACCTCTCCTTGGCCTCCCTGACAAGGATTGTTGCAGGGCCTCGCCATTGGCCACCTCGAGCATAGCGTTTTGTAAGCCTCTTCGGTGTCCAAAAGTAGATCTGCGTTCCAGGCACGAATGGGCCTTCATTTTCATGGGCTGGCTTCCTCAGAATTGCACGGCGCATCTTCTCCTGAACATCCATTCTGATCAAGGCAAGTCTTGCCGTGATGCGCATTTTGTGAGCACGTGCATATTCTGATTCAGCGTCCAGAGCTTCGGCAAAGCTCGGCTTGACATTTTCCTCTGTCAAACTTGGAAACTTCACTTCAGCCCCAAACAGTCGTTGATTGGGAGTGAATCCATCTCTCGTCACTGTCATATTTTTGGCCGCCACCGCAGAGGAGAGAACCAATTTCATAGCTGTAAATCCCTCAGTGGCATGTTCTGCAGTGATGGCAGAAACCATTGTACCCAAAATTGCACCATGTCGTTCTCCAACTGATAGTTGCCATGGTGCATGTGATCCAGTGACAGTTGTTGGGATAGCCATATCCTCCAGAAGCGATACAAAAGCCAGTTCAAATTCGCCCCCTTGATCGTGGTGAATGTGCTCTGGGGCTCCAAAAATCTGCACCCAGTGAATCAGGAACTTCCGTGCCACATAATCAGAGCGCCTGGTTTTGCAAAGGCAAGCTCCATGATAGGCCGTTCCCAAGTCCACGATGGAGAGACAGGGGTATTTTCGCTCTCTGGAGTCATGTACGAACTTGATGTCCAGGTGGAGTTTACGGTTAAAACCGTAAGGCCTCAAAGTTGGTGTTGTAGCCAAAGGATGGGCAGGTGGCTTCTGTGCTCGGCACACATCGCACTGCCACCGCCGCGCATGTCGTACTGCCTCATCTGTGGCACCAGAGACCCGGAGCATCCGGACTAGCGTATCCCTGCTTGGGTGTCCAAGTTGTCTGTGGGCATGTTCCACAGCTTTCTGTACTTCTCTTGGTATGGGACGTCGTTCGTCCTCCTCAAGTTCCTCAGTCTTGCGCTTGTTCTCCTGGGCAATGCGTTGCTCCTCTTCTTCGATTCCTTCTGCTCCATCTTGAAAGGACTCCTCCGCGACGAACTCCTCCAAGACGTAGATCTCTTTTCCCGGCGCAGCCGGCCGATGCAGAAAGCTTAAAGCTCCTCTCATGATGGCTTTACACAGAGGAATTGGATATCCTCCAGCCCAGGAAGATAGGCTGATAGTGCCATACTCCTCGGTTCGAACTGAACCCTCAATAGGGAAATGCTCATGCTCCCCATTGCACCTCTTCCTGAGCTCGGCCACTATCTCTTCTTGTCCAACAAAGCGAGTGGCCTTTTTCAGGGGCATTTTGTTTTCAGGATGTCGAAGGCCATATTGGCATTGATCACAAATGCCCTCTGCCAAGCCTCCAAAGCCATCGATGATGTCTTCTTGCTTCCATGCCAGGCTCGGCAGGGGATTTTCACCCAGGATGGCGCGGCCATTCCGTTGTCTCTTCAAAGAGACTTGAGCTGAGAACTTCAGCAGCTTCTTCGAAGTGTTCTGTTTGTGTTTGAGAGCTTCTCGCTGGGTCCAAGTCTTTTGATTCAATCTTTGAAGTGGGGACCAAAGGCCACAAGGCCATGCCAGCATGATGAAGTCAGGATCGACCCTGTCGATGTACTGGTGGGCCTCATACTGCACCTTTGGATCTGTCAGATCCCAACCCGGCAAGGTCACCGGCTCGAGATACTCCCAGCCCAATCCATAGGCAAACCTTGAAAGCATGCATGACCACGTGAAGATCTCCAGGATCTTGTAACCGGTGCGCAGCCGGCGTACTCGAGGGACCTCCTTCTCCTTCTTGAAGATGTTGCGCTCGGTCTCGACGGCTTCACTGATGTTCTTGGCAGCAGCCAAAAGTCTTCGCTTCTGGCCCTTTCCAAGATATTCCGTGTCACCGGCGCTGCCAGCTATCATCACCTCGTCCGTCATGTCGTCCTCGGTCTCGGTGGTCTCCTCCTCTGAACTGTTGAGTGGTAAGCCACCCTCGTGTGATGTCTCGCTTTCACGTTCGCTGATTGAGCCTGTTGATGTGTCGTCATCGTCCTTGCTGGTAGTGGCTCTGAAGCAATCCACTCCCATCACATCCAGCAAGTTGATGGTCTCAGACTCGGATTTCTTCTGCCAGCGGGCCATCATCCCAAATTGGGGACCCGTCCAATGGACGGCTTCATTCGTAGTTGGGTCTGGCTCGGCGGCGCAGCCGTCATCTGAGCTCAGATCATCCAATGCCTCTTGCAGGAGGGCAAAGGAATGCGGATCATTGGTGAGGCGCAGCCTCAGCTCTCTGAGATCTCCGGTCTCCCATGCAGATGGGTTCGGATGCTTGCCAACGTTCAGCAGGTTGAGAATTGGGTGCCTGGAGGGCGACAAAACTGTGGGTTGCCATTTCCCATGAATTGCAACCTGCAACTTGGCGAAGTCAATCTGCACCTTCCAGCGGGCAAGCTCTGCAGGGCCTACTAGGCCTGGGCACTCAGCTACCCTGTTGTCGTCCGGGGTGTTGTCGACAACTGCAATCCTCACCCAAGACTTGTGGTCGTAGATCTGAACCGCATACAAGAAAGCCTCAGTGCTGAGGACTGGTGCTCCAGCCCCAAAACGGTAGACCTCCTCGTGGTTGGTCTTGTGGAAGGGGAGACCTTTCTTGAGCATCAGGGACTGCAAAGCCTCATGCCACTTACGTCCTGCCACAGCCGTTCGGCATCCCGTGTCCAGGATGACATGTCCGGGTGCCAGCACGTTCGCCTGGTAGGCCTCGTGCTCCTGATTCAAAGCGTGGCTGCACTGGTCGGACGTCATCGCTCCATGCATGACTGAGTAGTACAAGACCTTCCTCAGCTTGCAGTCCTTGCAGTTGGCCCAATGGGCAGAGCAAGCGCTCATAGGGATGTGAGCATTGCTCCTGGTCTGCATTTGGAAGATCCGAAGCTTCTGAAGGGACAATCTTCCCTTTTCGATTCCGGGTTGCTTCATAAAGTTGCCTTCGGAACTTCTCCATGCGCTTCTTCTTGACGCCAACTGGGATCTTCTCCTCCTGGTCTGGCGGTTCTTCAACCTCATCCTTCCGTAGGCTGCGGCCTGTGGAAGATGTGGGCATGGTCGCTGCCGAATACCCATCTCGTCTGCGATCTGGCCTCTTGAGTTTTGTTGATGCAGTGGCTGGTGGATCCTTCTCAAAGAGCTTGAGAGCATCCTCCTCTCGCTCCTTCTTCAACTGCTTGTAGAGCATCTTCTTCTCTTCCTTCGACATGTTGGGAAGGATCCTCAGCAATTCCTCCGACGACAAACCCATGTCTTCATCTAACTTTGGGTCTCTCGTCTCCTGCTTTGGCCTCGTCCTGGCTGGAGTTTCCGAACCAGAGGCCTGTGATCTCACCGCCTTCGCAGTGATCTTGTCTCGCAGGCGATCCTGTTTCTTCTGCAGCCTGCGTTTGATCTCCTCATCCTGCTCCTCCTCAGTGAGGGACTTGAGAACTGTCATCAACTTCACCTTGAGCTTCTGTCGTGCCGCAGACTTGGGCGCGGGGGTGTTCTGGAACTGGTACTTGCGAACCAGGTCATCCAGGTCACTCTCCGATTCCAGCTCCTGAGATGAAACCGTGTTGGATCCATCGGAGTCATAGTCCTTGATAACATCCCATCCGCCGACCATGTAGGTCCAGTTGCATTGGCGTGCTGTTGTGCCTGTTGAAGGCTGTGACACAAACGCCTCCTCTGCTCCTTCTCTTGGGGTGCTGGCCGGTGTGGCCTCCCCCTCATCCTTCGCGCGGCGCCGCTCGCGTGTGCGATCCCTGTCAGATCGATGTTCTCCTGCGGATCTCCTGTGGCGATCCTTGTCCTTGTCTTTATCTCCAGCCGAGCGTCTCCTTCTCTTCTTGGGTTTTTCTCCTGGGGAAGCCTTCGGCTCCAACTCTGGCTCCTTTCGACTGGGGGATCGCTCGATCTCTTCCTTTGCTCGTCCTGGTGGTGGATGAGGTGGCGCAGGTGGCTTCTCCCGCTTCGCCTTTGGTGTCGGCGTCACATAAGTCTCCATTGGGGTCTTGTCCACCTCGTCCTTCTTCTTCGGCGGCGGTGTAGGAGGGCACTTCGGAGTTGTACCAGCTTGGCCTTCTTCACGGCTCGCTGAGCCTGGCCTGCGCTGCAGGGGAGGCCTGTCATCAGCTCGATCAGGCGATGGGGCGCTGCCCCGCTTGGGTTGGAGAGCGCTGCCCTTCCCAGAGCCCGATGCTGTTGTATAGTGGGTTGAACTTTCCTTCCGGTGTGGGGCATCCTTGCCTGACTGCACATTGGGACAAATTGCATCGCCGCGCCAATGTCCCTTCTGTCCACAAGACGCACAAGTGCTGTTGCGCTTGCGGTCGTCCGGCTTGCGGCTGTCAGGCCTCTTCCCTTTTCCTCTCCCCTTTTGGGGTTTGCCGCTGTCTCGATAGCCACGGTTCTGCCGAGCCTGGGCGGTCTTGTCCTTCGCTCGCCAGCCAGCTGCAAAAGCCTCTTGCAAAGCTGCCTGATCCACCGCCTCGACCTCTTCGTTCTCGGCGTCATCCTCATAGTAGCTCCAATCTTCTTCTTCCGGCATCTCCTCCTCGGCCATGAGTGCCTCTTGCTCCAAGTCTTCTTCGTCGGTGGCTTGGTCGAAGTCCTCGTCTTCGTCATAGCCATCGTCTTCATCAGCCACATGTGCATGCCTGGTAGCTCGGTGAGGGGTGCGGCGATCTGACCTTTTGAAGGTTCTTCTCTTCGGTGGTGGTCTTGATGCCCTTGGGTATCCTTCTTGGCGTCGAGTTTCAGGGCGTTCTTCAATGTGCACGTTCGCACACCTGAACCTCAAGACCTTTTCTATAGGGGCAGATCGGTAGGCGCCGCCTGCTGCAAAGAAGCAGTCGTAGCGTTCGCGGCGCGTCAGTGCCGCTCTTGTGAGCATTCTCTGCGCGAATGCGCGGTCACTGATGGTTGAGCCGGTATCTTCCTGGAGATACTCGTTTCGGAGCCGCTTTAGCGTCGCCAAGTAGGCTGCTATGCTTTGTCCAGCTGATCGTCGGTAGTTCAAGAAGGCACTTTGCTTCTCCTCGAATCTTTCGTCTGCTTTGCTGCCATAGGCATCCTCAAGCAAGCGAAGGATCCTTTGAAGTCCTCCTTCTTCTTGCATGTCCGAAACTTCCAACTGGTTGAGCACCTCCCGGGCTTCGCCTGTACAGGACAGGAACAGCAAGACGGCCAGCTCCTTGTCCTGTATCTGGTACAGCTGCTTCTGCGCTTGAATCGTCTTCATCCAGTTCCTGTACTGCGCTCGGTCACCTGAGAAGGTCTCCAAGCGCACCTGTCCCAGATTGGCTCTGGCACGAGCTTCTGGCTGATCGGGACGATCTCGCAGCAGCTGCCGCACGGACTCCGTCCGGATGGTCTCCGTCCTCCGGCTCGAGGCTGGGGTCGCTGACCCTCTTGAAGGCAGAGATGGCGGGTTGCTACCACCATGTGATCCCTGAGGTCTCCGCCTCCTTGGGGCGCCGCCCACATGATGTGTTCCTCGTGGCTCCTCCTGCGGCTGTTGTTGACGCCTGGGTCGCGGCCCGCGTCTTGCACCAGCACCTGCTGGCGGTGGTGCTGGCTCAGGCATAGACCTCGGCGTCACCTCGACCGAACGGTCTTGCTCCAGCTCTTCTTCTTCTTCGCTTTCTTCTTCATACGTGTATTGGCTGTCATCCTCCGGATCTGGTTCATCGCCTGGTCCATCATCATCATCTCCTCCCCAATCGGGGGCATCATCCGGAGGTCCTTCATCATTCTGCTTCTTCTTTTTGTCACGACCCCCATCCTTGGAGGGCTTGTCCTTCTTGTCTTTCTTCTCATCCTTGTTCGGCCTGTCGTCCTTCGTCTCTGTCTTCACCTTCGTTCTGGTGGCATGCTGCTTGACGTACTCCTCAAACTCCTTGGGGTTGAAGGCAGTCCTCTGACTCGGAAAGCTCCAAGGGGAGTAGGGCGTCGACCATTGTTGAGAGGCCATCATCGCCTCAAAACCTGCAGGCCACCACTGCTTTCCATCCGTGTGCCATGGGCGCCCGTCAGGGCCTTGTTGCAGCTGGTATCCAAACGGCGGCATTCCGTAGGGATACCTCTCGGCTACCTTGGCGTCCTTGGCTGCTCCGACAGGCTCAGAGCAAGCTGAAGCAGGGCCTCGTCCACGTCGAAGTTGATCTTCACCCACCTTTGTATCGGGCGCTGAGGAGAGCTTCTCCTTCATCTGAGGCGCAGCCTCTTTGCCGCGGGGCGCAGCCCGCTTTCCGGCCGCCGGCCGTTTCGGCTCTGCCGTTGCCATGGGTCGCTGGGGCTTCGAAAGCATCACCCAGCTCCGCTACCAATGCGGAGAGCACAGGCAGCGTAGGGCTCACACAGCAAAAACGAAAAGCAGCGATTGGGTTATTTTGCGCAAAGCTTTGCTCGGTCCGAGCTGCGGTGTGAAAGCGCTAAGGCAAAAACTAATGCATGACACAACACACCAAGCATGCCTCTACCTACCGTGTTTCTTCACACTGCCTCTATTTTAGAGCAGAACGGAATCTCTGTCGCGGAGGACGGACTGCCTCTATTTTAGAGGAGAAGGGAGCCTTGACACGGAGCTCCTCCCTCTATTTTAGAGGAGAAGGGAGGAGCTGCTGCCTCTTAATCCCTCTATTTTAGAGGAGAACAGAGGCTCTTTGTCGTTGCGCCTCTATTTTAGAGGAGAAGGGAGCCGTCAAACTGAGCTACTGCCTCTATTTTAGAGGAGAAGGGAGCCTTACACCTGCAAGGTCCCAGACCAGCAACAGCGTGCGCAGGCGAGCCGCACAGCGTGCGCAGGCGAGCCGCAGCCGAGACGTCATTTTCGTTGACCTGCGCGAGAAAAAATAAGCGCGCAATTAGTGCGCGTGCGCGTGCGAGACCAGCATGCGCGTGCGCACGCGAGACCGACATGCGCGTGCGCACGCGAGGCCGTGACCGTTTGTATGCATGTATGTATCTATGTATCTATGTATCTATGTATCTATGTATCTATGTATGCATGCATGCATGCATGGGTGTGTGTGTGTGTGTTATGTGTGTGTGTGCGTGCGTGTGCCCTCTCATTCTTCAGCCTGCTGTGAAGCCAAACAAGACATCTTGGTAAATCGTACTAGCATAAGCAAGCAACCTCTCAACAAACTGCTTCTCGACCATTTGGACTTTGCGTTTCTGCCCACCACTCCTCGTCACCAAGCTGGGTCAAACAAAGCATGTCAAAGCCGTTGGGGTCCGCTAGGGGTCAAAGCTGGCAATCAACAAAGCTGGTCCAAAGAGTTCCTAAGCGTCAGCAAGATCAAACTTGCGCAAACATCAAACAACTCTTCGCATCGAATCTACCTGAGCTGGTCCGTGACATCCAAGCGGTGATGCACGACATGCCACTGCCGTAGTGCCGCCAGGAGTTCATTGGCCGAAACCAGGCCATCGCGCCTTGGCGCGTTTCTTTTTCCTCACAGATTTTCACAAATCTTCAAAGGCTCTCGCGGCTCTGGGCTCCTCACGGACAACAATCCAAATAGGCCATGGTGTCCTGGACGGAAACATGGTATACCAGGATACCAGTATACAGGGAAGTCACTGAGCAGAGAACGCGACATGCATCACTCGGAGACACACCGTCCTGGATCCTGGCTTCCAACATTTCTGCCTCCATCTCTCTCACGACTTCGGAGGTAGCTGGTCTCCAATCATAGAAATAGTCCTGCACAAGGACTCCAGGACACCGACTCCGTTTAAAACAAAATATTGGAAATCGACCTAATCGAGCCTAAAGAAATGGATGAAATGGTCTTTTCCGCATGGCTTTGAGATGCTCCAGGTCATTCCAGGTCCCATGCTTCGATGATCTTCTATGTGTTTGGGCGAGTTCGGATGCACATGGTGCCTCCGTGTAAAACCACCGAGGCCAGGCAGACGAAAAGCGTCGTCCAGGGGAAGCTGGATCTCGCTGCGCGGCCAGGAAAGCCTCCCGGAGTGCATGATCTGCAAAGGAGGCTCCACTCCCTAAAAATCCCTAAAACACTATATAATATATATATATAGATAGATCCTTTAACATCTCTAACTCCAAGGCCAATGACCTACCAAGATCTACTTCACTCGATTCAAGTGGGCTTGGCCTACGAATTCCAGCTTTCACCTATCAGATACATATCAGCTTAGATAAAGAGCCGTCATACTTCCACAGAAGGTCCTTAGTTACTATGACATTTCGACGACCTCGCCCGCTTGCTCTTCGGCTTTGCCGGCCTCCATCTCATCGTAAGAGATCGAACCATTCGCGTCCTTCGTGCATAGTATGAAACAGAGCATGATGAAGCGGAAAATGAAGAGGAACCAGTTGTCAAATTATCTATACAAACAGGGGCGCGCGTCCGAAATCCAATGTCTTTGCCTTTCTTACCGCAAGCATCCACTAGCGTTCTTGTTTGCAGCCATGCGGCCTTGTCAATGGCCGCCAGCAAGGAAGAGTGCTCCTCTTCTATTGCTGCCTCATCTGTAGTTGCCTGCACCGCCTGGTCCGAAGACGTCCGAAGGAAGAATATGGAAGAATGCAAGCGAGATCATTGGGATTCGACGCAATGGACACTGATAATCTATGGTGTTCTATTGCTTATTATACTTATTACAGTATATGCTATGATAGCATGCAATGATCTGTGGTTCCTTGGCTTTCGCAGCTCCCCAAATTGCCTGAGGAGGTCGCAAGGTAGCATATGGATGCCACAGGTCCAGGCAATGGCCCTCATAATAGAGGTGTGACATTGCAAACGTGGGCAGGTACGCCCTGAGGTATCCTCAGAGGGAAACTGGCAAGGGCCACAAGGGCCCTCAGCATGAATGAAAATGCATGGAGCAGTTCGCAACAATCCGCATGTAGCTCGTTCTGCTGGAAAACAGGCAAGACAAAATGGGACTAGGGCTGGACTAGAGTTTCAACCGAAGCACGTGCTGGGACCGGCAGCTGAATTTGGAAAGTTGTTGCCTTGGCATCACGAGCTGATTCGTTGCCTGCTTTCCTCCCTTGTCTTGGCCTTTCCGTCTTGAGTGGGAAACAGTGTGCTCATCAAACCAAAAAAAATGAGAGTGCTGCTACAGTGCACTCGAGATTCTCTTCTGGCACGTGCGTCTCGTGGAAGAGGTTTGGAAAAAAGACAAGTGCCTGCAACTCTTAAACACAATGCCTCGATCATGACTCCAAAATTCTGAGTTCAAACATGTTCGGACATGTCTGAACAAATTTGGATCTGGCACCTCACCCTCGTGTACTGTAATTTCCCAAAACGGTCGCCAATTGGCTCTGTAGATCCTGTCAGTAATCACAATGTGATATGAATGCGCATAGGGACCCGCAAAAAGATTCCCGGCTTAAACAAACGCTTTGTGCAGCATAGGACTGGGCTAAGCACGTTGCCCTCCGTCATGTGAATCTGGCGCAAGTCGGGAAAATTGCACCTGCAATGCCGGCAGCGCCAGAAGAATGCACAAGTGCCACAAAATGACATAAGCATCCAGGAGCCCCTGTTGTAGAAGGTTGGTTCCGATTCCCACGTGCTGCTGACGACTGTGAAAAGCTCCCCGGCCACTTTGAATATATGCACTTTGAAGTGTGAATATTGCCGAAGCTTGCAATGCTAGTGAATGCTAGTCAGATCAGGACGCCTGGGGGTGTGGCATCAACCGCCAACGCCTTCAGCAAGTGAATCCATGTGGCTACAGTCTCGAAATGTTTCGAAGCTTGAGCTGCTTGTAATAGCATACGGGTGAGCTCGCAGAAGGAGAAAAAACGAAGAAAGAGCTGGGAGGTCCCGCGGTTGTGTGACAAATCCGTGACCCTTCCACTACCTTAAGCTCAGCACTTCTTGCCAGTGATTTGCAGAGACACTGCTGGAATGCAGTAAGTATCCTTGATTACCCAAAAAACAATCAACATCTCAAGGATTGATAAGGATTGTGGGAGCGTGAAGGCAATATGTACACATATATTTGCCCAATAGAGCCTAACGTTATCTATCTATTGGATTCCACCACGCCACGCCTAAAATCGCAAACATCAGACTTTGGAAAAACCAAAGTGGCGAACTGCATCCTGACTGCTGCACAGCATCTGCATGAGCCAGCACCGCACCATTCCGCCGATGAAACCAAAACCTTTCGAGGGCACACATCTCCCGCAAAAGAGCTAACACATGCTAACGCATGCTAACGCCACAAACAACTTACTACAACTTTCTACAACTTACTTTCATCATGTTCATCTGTATTTAGCCCATCTCAGGATCGTTCTCATGAGGTGCTTTCAGTTCCTCTGACTTTGGGAACGTGTGAAGCTTGGGAGGACCTGGGCATGTTTATGTGAACATGGTTGAGCACATGAAGGAATGTAATTAATCAAATGCCAATGTCTACGTTTGTTTGTAACATAATCTAGCAGTCAGCTTATATCTGCCGACCCCGGCCGGCAGCAAGGGGATGGCGCCAGGGAAAAACATGTTTCCCCTTCACAGAAACAACGATCAAAACAATGACAACAATGACAACAACTAGAACTAAAACTACAACTACAACAACCACCACCACCACTACGACTTACTGCTACTGCTACTGCTACTTGTACTGCTGCTACTGCTGCTGCTACTGCTACTGCTACTATTCCTGCTACTGCTACTGCTACTACTATTACTACTATTATTATGGGATTTTGACAACACGTTAGGGAGTTGTTTGACGCGATTTAGTGGTTCTACACTGACTTCAGGCCGTTTCTCTGCCGGCGCCCGGCTGTCAGGCGTAAGCTTTTAAATAATCTGAGCAACACAGTGGCCAGACCAATTTTTCTTGGAGCTGTGATGAGCTGTAAGGAACTATCTCCTTTGCATCCATCTTTCATCTTTCATCATCTTTCATATGTGTCCAACCGTTTTCCATGATGTCGGTTGCAAATGTAAATGTAGCAGCTGTTGGTTGCCGAGTAGCTCCGCGGACTCATTGGCCTCGCGGAGGTTCACAGCGCCTCGCACAAAGTATGGTGGCTGCCATGCCTGCCAAGACCCAACGTTGAATTGTTGAACACTTGGTGGATCTTTCTAGTTTGGCAGGGTTCCCGAGCATCTGTCCACCGCATCCTTCTCTTCTCATATGACACAAGATTCACAAATTTCACAAGATGGAAAGCGAAGAGAATGGGAAGAAAATCAGAGACCGCAGTGCCGCAGTATCCAGGAAGCTGCGCCAGGCCTTTTGCACAGCAGCACGCACCCCTGGCGGAGCCTCATGACCTCCATCCTGCGCAAATATCCCCAGCGGTGCGTGAGCATTGTGAGCATGACAAATGAGTCAAGAATCAGCCCAACGGGCCCCACGGTATCATGCCAAGCTTCAGATGATTCAAAACAACTCTTCTTGAAGGTTGCAAAACACCACAAGGCCCTCCTTCACGTGCCACACATACGGTGCATTTGCTCTTGCGACATTTTGAAGGTCCTGGTATCAGTTGAACTTGCTGCCCACCCGAAAAGCTCTGTGAATCTCTGTGACATTTTGTGGCGTCAACAAGTGATAGCAGCTGATAACAAGATATGAAACTGTGTCATGGCTCATCCAAAGGAGAAAAGAAAGAGCATCAGAAAGCGCAAAAGATCCACAAGATTCCACAAGCAATCACAAGTTGTGATAATGAGCGCAGGTACAGTATCCTTTTTTTTTCGGGCTGAGGTAGTCCGGAGTGGCTTGTCTGTGAGTCAGCATACCTACAGTACCTACAGTAAGAGTCAGACAAACCCTAGGCCCTAGGCCTAATCACAAACCAAATGGAAGCAGCCACTCAGTCACTCAGAACTGCTTGAAGCACTCATTCTTGATCTTCTCAAGTTACTAATCCATATGCTCTGCACAGAAGGGGTAGTGTTCGCCGTCGATCTCTTGAATTTTGATGATGCCGCCACAGCATGAACTGATACGTCCCTTCACTGGCTTGTGCAGTTTGAAGATTTCCACATGCTCACTTGGATTTGCAAGGGCTTCAGGCGGGATTGATTCAATGCAGCACGACTCTGTGCCACAGTGGATGATATCTTTTTGAGGTCCATAGGCTTCCCTGGCACATTTGCGATTGGACAAACTCACTGTTTTCTCTTTGCAAGGTTCCCCCACGGCGACTCGACAGGTCCGGGTTTCAGGATCGCAAAGAAGGCCGTCTGCACAGCAATCATTTTGCTTCAGATATGGTACGGTGTAGGAGCAACCGCACCTCTTTCCATACGCATAGTTGCCATATTGCGGAAGTTGCGGCGGATCCTCCTGACCCTCCCGATTCCGGCTCAAATGTGGGCGAGCAGCAAATGCATGGGTGACTTGCAGGCCGAACATAATTGCTTGGAGGAGCAGAATGGTGCTGCCAGCCAGCAAGGCTGAAGTCATCGCGGGTTACTCAAACAAACAACACTCTACACTACAACACCTGCGCAAAGCTTGATCATTGATCATAGCAACAGCCCAGTGCAAACGGCGCATGAGTCATCATGAAACGAAGCACCAAGTTGGGTCCCAGTCAGACTCAAGCTGTCCAGAAAAGAGAGCAAATAGCCTCAGGGCCTTCAACACCAACATTTTTCGAAACAGCATCCAATGGCATGCTCTACTTGGAAGGCTGGTGTTGAATGGTCTCCATCAAAGCTGTGTCATCCGGTGTCCTTGCTTTTCGGCTTCAGGCGTTCTTGCTGAGGCCTGTCCTTTTGGAACCACGCCTCATATGCCCACCGTACAGCCAAGCTTCCTTGAAACTGATGTTCATATCTACTGTGAGCTCCAACTGCAGCTTCAGTTCAAATTTTTGCAACCAGATTTTTTAAAAATTGTTGATGCTCACTTTGATGCTCTTGCCAGGCTGGAAATATAAATGCCCCAGGAGCAAACACTCAGAGGACGTCTGATCCAGCCTTACTGCCCAGCGACACAAACTCTTCATTCCTGCAGCAAGGCGCATAAGGGTCAGACGAAAATGCGAAGGCAAACAATTGATGATATTTCTGATACACTCAAGTTTTGCATGACGAAATCTGTTCCACACCCTTCAATGTATATAGGTGTATCTGTATATAGTATGAGCATCGTCCGATGTGACCACATGCAGCATTTTCAACTGTCCAAGCAAATAAGATTTTAGAACACTGTAGAAGGTGTGATAGTTTGATCGAAGCCAGTCTAGCCGGGCAAGGCTGTACCCATTGCTACTCCGAAACAGAAACACGTTCTTCACATGTCCTGCTGCCAGTGTATTCTGCGCGCATTTTGGCAGAAGGAAAGCGCTCGTGGAATTGCTGACAACTCGTACCAACAAGGTCGAGACTTTGACCTCGAAAGCACAATTAAAGCAAATGATAACAGCAAAAATACGAAAAAAATGGATGCCAGCAGCTGCCCTTAATTCAATCTTAGCAATGTATCCGAATGTAAACGACAAACAACTTGAGGCACATCAAAGATAACAAGATCTAACTGAATCTAACTGCTAGCTGCTATAGCCAGTTTGTCATTGCATGGGTTTTGGTAGGTTTCGGCCCAATGTCAGGTCCTAAGGTTGAACAACCTGAGATGCCCCTCTGCTGCTCGTGCCTGCATCTTCGATGACGAAGGGTTTCCCCAAACGCACCCGCTCGTCGAAGTCGCTCGGGCTGATCTGGCCGCAGAAATTAAGTGGTGAAAGAATATAAAAGAATGAGGAAATACTGGTGAGCTAAAAGGAAAAGCACTCATAGAAAACATCTGCCCTACCCAATTCGTCAAGCTCACTGCTTGACAATGTCCAGTGCCTTCGATTTAAGATCTTAGCCAAAAGATATGGAAGTGGATGAACATTAACTTTAAATGAACATCAGTGTTCCATTCACGTTAACTATAATATCTATACCAAAAGTGAATCAAAAATTGACGTGAATGAAACCTTGGGAGAAGAAGCCTCTACATATCTTGCATTGTCTTTCTTGAGGCTGGTCTGAGTCCAAACCTTGATTCAAAAGTTCATTTTTTCTGACAGGATAGGGAATGGTGGCATGAAATGGCATGAAGGTATCTTTCCTCTTCCTCTTGTGATTTTGAGCCAGGCCATGACCCAAGCCTCAAAGAGATTCAAAGAGATTCAAAGAGCACATCGAAAGAGAACATGTCTTCAGTCTCCAGTGTCTCCCACCAACCGGGCCTCACGGACGCGTTCCACTGGCCTGCCGCCAAAAAAGTCTTCATGGCCAGGCTCTGCCAATGGATTGAGCTCCTGGGCAAGCTCAGACCGCAACAACTTTGGGAAGATGTCTTGGTTTCAGGATGCATCCACGGTCTTTTATCATTCATCAATAATTCATAATCATTTATAATGTTTAATGAAATGATATTTAATCATAGTTAGAAAATAATTTTGAATATTGGCAGACTTTGCAAAATGTGTGGTGATTCAGGCAGCGTCTCCAGGCCGTTTGCTTCCACGGCGAAGGCAACCAGCAAACTGCGCCATGAGACCATAAGACAAGTTTAAGTTTAAGATGAGTTTAAGTTCAAGGTTAGTCGGTTAGTTGAAGACGAGTTTAAGACGAGTGAGAACAGCGCAGTCTTCAAAAACTTTCAAGGCTCATCCGGTGGCTTTGCCCAATCGTTGCATATGGCAACTGAGTTGAACAAAAGGTGCCAGGCACAGAACATATCAGGCTCCCGTAGCAAAGATCTGATGAGGGCGGTGGTTTTCACATGTCACATCTGTCACGGAGCTTCGGTGGTTCGCGACTTGGAGAGAGACAGCTCTTAGTGCATTTTAAGTGTCTCTTCATGTCAATCTGTTCTCCTCCTTAGTTCGGTATGCTTCAGTCTCTTTCAGCGAACATGGGGAATGGTTTTGCTTCACTTCCAATGGTTGGTGACTCGCACACTTTTTTCGGCACCTTGCCAGCAAAGCTGGAAGTGGAAAATACTATCATCTAGCCACTAGTCACTGCTAAAATGCCTCTTCCTGAATGCCGCATAAATTTCTATATACATACATATACACACATAATCACATATAATGAAACGTGAACCAAGCTAACTAGATCAACTGGAGAAGAAACTCTTCAAGAACCCATTGTTTCTTTGACTTTATCAAGTTGATTCCTCAGGTAGCATTGCAGTGAAACCGACTGTCAAATTCTGTCCACGCGAAAAACGTGCACAGCACTCTAGAAGCACTCTAGAACCATATGTCATGTTGATGTGATTCTGCTTTCCAATTATGCTGCCAATAATGATTGCAGTGGACCTCACATTTGCAATACATTTGCTATGAGCAGGTGTCCACTCTGAGTTTGTTCAACGTTTGGCCGAGCACGTAGATGACTGCGTGAATTAACAAGGTTGTCTAGCCGCTAGCCCGAATTAGCTCATTTCGAGCCGTCTATGGGAATGAGGCGAGAAGCATTGGACCACGAGATGCTTGGGCAGGGTCAGGGTTGTCTTGGTGGTCTAGTCACTCGCATCATGGGGTGAAGCTAGGAGAAGCTAAGCGTATTTGGCTTGGAGAGCCGGTGGAGCTACCACTCCGATTTGAATCAAAATTGAACCATCGCCGCCTGAGCAGGCAAGCTGGACTCCGTTTGCAGCTGCAACATTGGTGAATACTGATTATATATATATATATATATATTCGGTTTGATTCTGTATCTGTTTATCCTCATGTTGACCCCAAGAAGGAGAAGGATCTCCCTGGCTCAGATCCCAGGATTTGCACATCGACTCGATGGTTTGATCATGGTGTGATGGGAAGAAGCGATGCTGCGATGCCTGAATTATATTATATATATATACATATATTGTGTCGGGCAGGTCTGAGTCTGCAGTGGATCTGGGATTCATACGATCTCAGCCTGTGATTTTCGTCCATACCACCGTACCTGAGCACTTGCATCACTTGAAGCTCTCACACACATGAACAAGTAAAGGAGTCAAGAACACAAATATCAGTCCAAATATCAGTTCAAATATTCAAATCACTTCAAATCAAGAGTTTCACGAGTTTGTCGGCTTCCCAATCTGCCTTGCGATTTCATGTGCCTTTTGTACCCAAAGATCCGCATGGTCGACCGTGCACAGACTTTAAGCTTAAGCACAGTGCGCACCCAACTCCGGGATGGAAGCATGTAGCGAAGCTCGGGTCGACCCGAGCGAGACCGCTGAATTCACAGGGTCAAAACGTGCCTTTTGGCGATGTGGTGAGACAACAGCAGAAGAGCTCTTCGAACTTGTTGGCGAAGAAGCACTGAGAGGCGACACCGACTCGAATTGTCCGAAGCCAGCACGCGGGGTTTGCGGTTTTCTGGGGGTCATTGGCTGAAATGTGGCAGGAATGAAGCGATCGTGGATACGATTGGTGACAGATCCTGGTGACATCCCCTTGTTGGAGGAAGAGCAAAAGGAGCCACGTGGTGTGGTTGGCGCAGAGCTCAATCGAGGAACCAAGACCTCGAGCTCTTGGCGCAAAATGTCCTCATTGTTGGTCACAGATGCCTTCCATGTCAACTCTTTGATTTGAGCCACCTTTTGATGATTCTGCTGCTGAAGTTGGCGAATGCGCTCCATGATCTCAGCACGTCGACGATTCTCTGTGTCGGCTTGCTCACACTTCTGAAGAAAACGAGCTTCTTTTTCCTTCCTCTGACCCTCCAAGTGATGCGAACGAGCCCGCATCCGCTCATTCACATTCTCATCTCGAGCTCGGCGACGCTCACATGAGGCAGCCCGCTCTTTGGCATTCTCCTGGTCCACCATGGTGCGACGTTTTTGCACTCTCTCCTGTTCACGACGGATAGATGCAGCTCGCTCCTGTTGCATCTCGATAGCTCGGGCTGTGGTGGTTGAAATCCGTTTCTCTCTGTGCATCGCAATATCACGATTCAGAGCTTCTTCTTCAGCGCGTCGCTGAGCAATCATCTCAGCACGAGCCTCAGCTGCCTGTTTTGTGGCAGCCGCAGCTGCTAGGAGCTCTTCTTGTTTGCACCTGTTGAAATTTTGGACTTGTTCGTGACGAGCATGGGATGTTTTGGTGCGATCTTGAAACTCTGCGAACTTCTCGAGGCTCAAGCCTTCGAGCCACTCCTGCCGAGCTCTTTCTTTGGCCTCCTGTTTGGCCTGTAGAGCTTGACACTGGAGCTGCACTTCCAATTTGAAAGCTGGCTGCCGGGCTCTCTTTGCAAGATGTGCTTCAGCAAGGCGGAGTGCCTTTTCAAAGCGGCACTCCGAGGCAGTGGAGTCTAGACTTGTCATCTCCGAAAAACTTCTTGCCTCAAATGCCTCAAATCTCAGCCTCAGATCCTCTTCACGTCCTCAAGACGGCAAAGAGATGCAAAGAGATGCAAAGAGATGCAAAGAGATGCAAACAGAGCCTCCGCCCCAAACTCGAGCCAAAGAATTCAAAGAATTGCGGCGAATGCATTCAAGTCCATTTCACTGTTGCGGCTGTCAGGAGCATTTTCCGTGGAAAGTTGCCGATGGAAATCGCAAACTTTCCCTACACTCAGAGACTTATATAGAAAGACCATGCAAGAGCAGGAGTTTCGACTTTGACATGGACAGATTGGCAGCCTTTTGGGCTCTGACCATATCTGGGCTCTATCTGTCGTGGCTGTTTGTACGGGATCTTAGCAGGACAAACAAATTCAACAGAAAAAAAGCAGAGCACGACAGCAAGTCGATGATATATCCCAAACTCTGCAGGAAACGACTGGAAATATCATCTACTTCTTGAGATCCGTCTGGAAGAAAAAACCAGTCATGTTCACGTGTTGTAGCGTCGTGTCTGCAATTTGGGCTTTCCATGTTTTTTTCCGCTTTCACGGCTACTCCATTGATTTGAAGCACGGCACCACATTTCGCAGGACCCAGGCATACAGCCTCAGCCAACGCGAATCCAGGATTGCACCGCACTTCCAGTTTCCCACATGAAACACACCCAAACTTCTTCATGCTGGTCCACGAACCAAAACTGAAAGGTCTTGTTGCTCCACAACTCCACAACATTCAGGAGGCGACGTTGTGTACCCGATATTGTTGATGTCTTTAGCCGTGCCTCAGTGCATGGCATAGCTCCAAGCTCTGAGCTCAGAATTTCATTACCTCTGCCACCTCTCAAGCCTTCTCAACTCTTCTCAGGTCTTCTGAGGTCTTCCGCCTCTTGAGGTACGAACATCCATGTTTCGATGCAGAGCCTTTAATGCTTCTTTTTGGCACTTTCTTGTTCATGATCCATCCTCAGCAAATGCGACGCTGGAGCAAGAATCCGAGCACCCCTGGCAAGCCTTAATAGGATGTTGTAATTGTGTTTCGTTGCCTTCATGCCATTCCCCAGACATCTGATGAACTGTCCCCGATGCCGAGAATCGGCCATTGACATAGTGGCCCATATAAATGCAGGTTACAAGTTCAGCCCTCGCAACCACCTTGTTGGAGCCAACCTGGCATGCAATTCTAGGAGGTCAGTACGTCAATAGGTGTGCCAAATCAACACAGCCTTGAGCACTTCCTTTTTTGATGTCCGTGCGCGCTGCCTCTCAAATGCATGCCGCTGTCTCTGAAAATCGGATTGCCAGATGTTGGAAGAACTAAACCACGCACCAGGCCCATTGCAGACTGTCACCGTCGGTAGGGTAGGACTGATAATCCAACAGAATGATACAGAATTCAGAATTATTGTAGCCGATGCTGGGCGATGCTGGGCGAGACGGGTGGTTTTCCCTGGCCAGTTGAGAGATGGCAGCATACAATTGGATCCCTGCGATTCTCAGGAGAAGCACACATCACTTCGTGACTTCAAGTGTTTCAAGCGAATCAAATATGAAAACATCTAAAGCAACCAAAGGACCAAAGGCATTCTCCATGACAATTTCATGTTGGAAAAAGGCTCTTTTTCTGAACTTGAAATGCTTCTCCTTTCACGGCAGCTGAAAATCTCTGCCTTTTGCAGCTAAACTGACCAGGGCCAAGTTAAAGAAACCTCCTCTAGCGGCAAGCTGAAGGAGGTCACGATGATGGAAACTCCAAAAACATCAAGTGAGAACAAAGAATAAGAAAATACATCAAAATACCGATGGCTGGTCTACGATGTCTACCATTTTTGATAGGAATCATTGAAGGAAGGGGTCAAGAAATGTGAATGTCTTGAATGACGAAAAAGGAAGACAGGTTGCCAGGCGTTATGGCGTTGCGATGCTTTCTGGCTCAGCCTCAAAAGACTCGATGTCCATTTTCTCGGCAGGCGTGGCCAGTTGATCGATCTTGAACGAGGGTGCCCGCTTCGCATAGCTCTTCACAAGCTCACCTGCAGGTCATGCCAAGTCATACTGTCGTGACTGCAGTTGCGCATCTAAGCTATTTGATTTTAGAACACTTCAAGACAAATCGGCATGTGACAGCACGAGGCAATTGATAGCAGGGGCTTGAAGGAAGTTGATCGATCAACCTACCAACCTAGCATAATCCTTCATTTTTAAACCTATTTTGCTATGTTTCGCCACTTTTGGCCTCTTGCTTTTTACTGCACCATGACACACCCGCATCGTACAGCATTCCATCTAGATCCATCTAGCCTTTCAGAGGACCTGCTGGGATTCGACGTGAGGGGCCTTCCAAAGAAGCGACGCGCTCATATAGCTGACGTTTTGCGAAATCCCTGTAGGGGTCCTGGCGCATCCAGGCAAGACATTCTCAAGAAAGATAAGAAAGTCGTTTGAGTCTATGGTGTTCATCGCTGGGCCTGAAAATACCGGCGAAAGAGTGGAAAAAAAAAACAACTCGCGGAGTGCTGGACAATCTGAAACAATGACAATAGATGACAATAAGATTCAATCCTGCTCCCAAAAAATATCGGGCACTGACTTGAAGCGTGCTGTGTCAGTCCTGTTGGCGAGCTTCTTGCAGCCAGGCCAACTCCTATCAGAAGATGACTGGATCCCTTCATGGTGAAAAGGCAGCTGGACACACCAAACGCATACTGTCAAACCACCTCATGCATTAACTAAGTGCAGCTTGGGTGGTGGCGTGGGCTGGATGGCTTGGGTTCCGCGGGTTGGGGCGGGAGCAGGCGGCCCCTGCTCATCCGCTTCCAAGATTCGATGGGGGGCAGAAGCCAAAGTTATACAGTTTAGCACGTAATTGTGGGGCTTAGATGAGGGGTAGCTGAGTATTATAGCTCGTAATTGTGCAACTTATGTAGTACTACCACTATGTAGCTTAAGCGGGTATTGATTATAGGCGCTCAGGTGGAGCAGGTGTCGCTCAAGAAGAAAGTGTGGTGTATGAGTGGATATGAGAATGTGAAGTTGGCTTGATGATTTTAGAGAAATGGATGGCTCGGCTAAAAATTGCCTAGTGTCGGATGAGTGCGACTACCTCAAGACTGTGTGTGTGAACAAGATGAGTAATGTTACTGAACTTTGCGTGTTTATTGTCTCAATGATTAGCAGCTCAGGATCTGCAGTCGTCAATAGATGCATTTCTTATCATTTTGTTTGATGTTATATACAGAGGGGGAAATCGAATCAAGACTAGAATTTAAGAATGATAAGGGTTTATGCAGTTTTTGAACCAGGTGTACGGACTGAGCTGTTGTCCCGAGTGATTACTTTCCCTAGGTGCTTACGTATGTTTGATACGCGTATGAAGCTCGATATTATTTGATTGATGATGGGATCTGTAATTGTGTGAGATGCATTGATGGTTGAGTAGAGCTATAATAGGCCGAGGTATATTGGCCTAAGGAGATCTAAGGAGGGGGGTCGTGCGGCCTAAGCCAACGTGGCTTCGCAATTGCATGCAGCTTAGTTCGTACGATCCTTTAGACTATATATATTTATATATAATTATATATAAGTTATATATATATATATAGCCTAGCTTAAGCCTGAATGGTATTGGCTCGTAAGTGGGTGAGATGCATGTGGTTGGTGTGGGGGGGACGAAGGTTTTTCGAGTAAAGAATCACGTGTTTGGCATTTGATCCGCCTCATCCCTTGCCAAGGCAAGGAACTATCGGTAGCTGTCATGAAAAGAATCAGGTCCTGCTCAACAGCACCTCGGATTTCAGAATATGCTTTGGCACAAGCATTTCTGTCCTGAAAGAGAGTGCAGGGACAATCCCATTGCAACACCCGCCAGCGTGTGTGAGTTCAGGTGTCTTGCAAAGTGCATCTGGCACAGCGTGTAAGTCTGATATAGTCTGATGATGGTTCTCTGGTTTAGCTCAGTAAGACTGTGACGTCTGTGACCAGCACCTGTTCTAGATTAGATGATTAGCACCTGTGAGATCATGAAGTGCCCACAGCTGTCCTTTGGATTGACATCTTTCAGATCGACGGGCTTGCCGAAGCCTGAGCATAAAAGCCACCACATTTCTCCATGAAACCACCCAATCACCTCCAAAGTGCCCGAAAGTATGACCCTCTCTGAACCAAGGAACTGAAATAGAAACGATCTCCAAATCCCGGATTTGTTTGTGTAGCTGGGATTGGTCTTGGAGCAATGATCGGAAATCCAAGACCTCCCTCCTTGGGATTTTTGGAAAATCGACATGTTGGAAAGTTGCAAATACGCAAAAGCAGAACTGAAAGCCCCCAAACATCACGCAAATGTGCAGCAAATCTCGGGCCCAAGAAAGCAACTACAGAAAAACTGAGAGATGCACTGATCAGCATTCTCAAAAAAAAGTGAAAGGCACAGGTAAAACCAAGACTCCAAAGACTCTGACACCGGCATTAGTCCGCCAGAACGCTTCTGGCTACGGGCCATGAAAGGAACAACATCCTCTGCTCTCTTCCGTAGTTCGCCGAAATTGGCCAGAACCTTCACCAAACAAGGCCCTAAACAGTCCCACATCTGACACGTCGCAAACACGCTGGCACCACAAAACTATCAATAATTGCAAAACATTTTAAGTATATAGTATATAGCATTTCGTATATATATATATATGTATATATACATTTCGGTCTAAATACACTTGCGAGGGGGAACACGAAAGGTAGGTGAGCAAGAAAGGAACCGAAGAAAAAAGGAAGGGGAGAGGGCAAGGGAAAAAACATGAAGTGGAGTCTGGTAAAAGCGACGCGGCCATTTTCTTTCTACAAACATGAAGTGGAGTCTAGTAAAAGCGACGGAAAGGCTTCGGCGGTGTGGTTGGGGTTGGCGGTAGTTGTGGTGTTGGTGGTGTTGGTGAGGCTGGTGGTGTTGGTGTTGTTGATATTGTTGATGTTGGTGTTGCTGGTGTTGGTGGTGTTGGTGGTGTTGTTAGTGTTGCTGGTGTGGTTGGGTTTGCTGGTGGTGTTGGTGTTGTTGGTCGTGTGTTGGTATTGTTCGTGTTGTTGTTGTTGTTGTTTGTGTCGTTGTCGGTGTCGGTGTCGGTGTCGGTGTCGGTGTCGTCGTTGTTGTTGTTGTGGTTGTGGTTGTGGTTGTGGTTGAGGATGTTGGTGGTGGTGCTCTTCTTGTGGTTATGATTGTGGTTGTGGTTGTGGTTGTGGTTGTTGTTGTTGTTGTTGTTGTGGTTGTTGTTGTTCTTGTTTTTGTTCTTGTTTTTGTTCTTGTTGGTGTTGTTCTGATGGTTGTGGTTGTGGTTGTGGTTGTGGTTGTTGGTTGTTGTGTGTTGTGCCTTGTGCCTTGTGCCTTGTGCCTTGTGCCTTGTGCCTTGTGCCTTGTGCCTTGTGCCTTGTGGTTGTTGTGGTTGTTGTGGTTGTTGTGGTTGTTGTGGTTGTTGTGGTTGTTGTTGTTGTTGTTGTTGTTGTTGTGTTGTGTGTTGTGTGTTGTGTGTTGTGTTGTGTGTTGTGTTGTGTGTTGTGTTGTGTGTTGTGTTGTGTGTTGTGTTGTGTGTTGTGTGTTGTGTTGTGTTGTGTGTTGTGTTGTGTTGTGTGTTGTTGTGTGTTGGACATTTGAAATCAATAAATATATATATATATAATTGAATACTGTATTATGAGAGAGGGAGTGGACATTTAGTTTGAAAAGTATAGAAGACATAATAACCAAAGAACAAGTAGAATTACTATCTTTGAATTATGATGAGGTAGAAGAAGATAAATTAAATTTTAGAGTTAAACTTGATATTGAAGTCCAAATAGTAGCACAACTACCAGACAAAGAATATGGTGAAAATGAATTTAGTTTTAGAGACATTTACTTATGAATGGCTTTGATGAATATGTAGATGAAGATAGTATAGACGAAGTATTAAATAAAGCAGTTGAAGAAATAAAAACCGATATAAGAAGACCAAGATAAAGATAGTATAGCAGGAATACACACATTTCATTCTAAATCAGTTATTATTGAAGACATGTACTACAAACATATTCTAAAAATATATGTGTATTAGAATTATAGATTTGTAAGATAGGATTATGAAAGGTTAAGGGTTTATCTTTATTGTTGTCTGCCGTTTTGTCTTATATATTGTTCTTTGTTTGTTTGGGGTGCTTTTTGTTTTTCTTGTTTTGTTTTGGTTGTTTTGTTTTGGGTATGGAATGGATGAGGTGATGATGTATTGACTGTGATGAATTTTATAAAATGGATGAGGTAGAGAGATTGTAGGTAGTGATGTTTTTGAGAAATGCATGAGATGATGATATAGTTAGTAGTGATGATTTTTGAGAAATGAACTTGAGAGGGGGAACACGAAAGGTAGGTAAGCAAGAAAGGAACCGAAGAAAAAATGAAGGGGAGAGGGCAGGGGAAAAAAATAAAGTGGAGTCTGGTAAAAGCGACGCGGCCATTTTCTTTCCAAAAATATAAAGGGGAGTCTGGTAAAAGCGACTGA